GAATCTACCTTTTTCTCTTTCTTTCTAATCTGTTCGTTCGTTCGTTCGTTCGGTCGATTTCGGTAGTCGGATTTTCTCGAGTATCTAGAACTTCGTAAGATTAACAACAATATATAAATAACCGGGTCGTTGACAGAATATATACGCTACAAGTAACGTCAAAATGTGTCGGGTATTATTTTGGTATACAATTTTGCACAAAAGAAAATTCTGACGCAACTACTGGCAAAATGAAAAAATTCAGAAATTAGTTAGTTGTTTGTTTGAACGATTACTTTTTTTATTTTTCTATACTATCACTTCTACTATTACTAGTATCGCTACTAATACTACAACTACCACCATAATAACAACCAACCACTAATACTACACAACTACTTTGGAGATGACACGCATGGCGAGTCATCCCGGATTTCATACGCACTGAATGCCTGCAGTGCATTTCATGAGAGAAGCCGAGGTGGAATCTCGTGTTACCCGGTGAAACCTCCATTGTTTCGATGGGAGTTCTACAAACGTACGGAGTAACAAGTTGTTGAGACCTAGGCAAAGGGGGGAAATACAAGAGAAAAAGGGATGACTGGGGGGGAGGGGAATTGGACAAGGTAGAGTATAAAATAGCAATGAATGAAATATGTAAGTAACGAGCGTAAACTCGCAATGACGGAATAAAACGTATCGTTAGGGTTCGTTTTTCTCGCTCCCTTCGTTCACTTAAAAGTGTCTACATTTTTCTTTTTGTCCCTCTAATTCTAATTTCATATGCAGTAACTTAAATATTCTCAAAAAAAAAAAAAAAAAAAAAAAGAAAAAAAAAAAAAGAAAAATAATATGCAAAATAACTTTTGCGCGTATTCATTATATAAAGTTTTGTTAATAAAATTAATTACATTATTATGAAACATATACGCACGAACAAAAAGTTCAGAGTTTAGTTGGAAAAGTTAGAAAGTCGGTTAACCTTAGGTGGCAGCGGTGGTTGCAATGGTGGTAGTGGTGTTAGTAGAGGTGGTGTTTTAATTCCCTGTCGTTGCAAGAGAGTACATCTCGCGCACCAATATCCCGTTTTCACGTAGTAACGTTGGCACAGCCGCAGATCGATTAAGCTCTATTGCACGCACATTCACGATGCTCCGTGCTTATCCTAGACGGCATACTAACTTTCCAAATATTCGATGATCCTTCCCCTCTTTCTTCCTTTCAATTTTTTCATTTCTTTAATTTTGTATTCTCTATCAATCCCCTTTTTAAAAATAATATCTAATGTATACTAGGAAGAAAAAAATCCCTATGTGCGAGCCAAAAGTTTTTCAATACTTTTTAAATATAATTAATTTTTTTTCCAAATTTTTTTTAAGCGAACGTATTTTCTATTTAATTTTTTTGATACGACAATAATACCTTATAACTAGGGTAGGTAATAACTAACTAACATTTCTCTTTCTAACCTTTTCATAATTCCCGCGCAAACAATAAAATCTAATCGCTATGATGGTCACGTTACATTTTTTTTTGTTCTTTTCCTTTTTTTTCTTCCAACCTACGAGTTAACGATGACATTATTAGATATCGTCATCGATTTATACGCCGATGAAATGTTTATAAGAAATTATATTTTGGATCGATGGTTTGAGAAAAAATGGCGGGAATATTCGAAAAACATTTTTCCTTCATATATTTTGTTTTAATATTTTCATTATTATTATTGTCGTTTTGCACAGAAAATAATAAATCAACAGTTAGTTCGCTTTTTTTCTCTTGATTAAACTGAATGATTAGAAAGAAAGAAAAAAAAAATAGGAGATCAGAACCGTTAGAACTAACGATCAAAAGCCACGAAGTAATTAATATGCTGGCCAACGAGCACTCTCAGAGTCTAACAATACATGGAATCGACGGGAGAATATTAAGTCTTAAGTCTACTCACTTAAATGAGTAACTTAATCAAGAAATAATGACTTTGTTATAATAAAAATAATAAGGATGAATTTCTAAAAGATCGTTTTCTCAATGTTGATCGTTAAAATAAATAACAATATTGATATAATAATAATAACAATGAATAAAAATTATCTTAATTATATTTCGGTATAAATAAAAAAAAAAAAAAAATTCAAATTAATGCTTCAGCAACTTCGGCAGGAACAAGGAAAATGTCGGTGAAACTAAATTATACTATGATACATAAACCAATAATTAATTAATTTCAGTTCGAATAACTTTAACTTCGCTAAAATTATGCAAAAATAATCATGTGAATTTATAAATATCATTTTTTTTTAAAAGTAGAATAAATTTAATTAAATAATATTTAGAAATACACGAGAAACACACACAAATATTCAAATAAATGTAATTAATTATAGATTCGAATAAATTTGACCATAACGAGAAACTATACTATACTATACACATATCATGGGATATAAATACGCCTGTACATGCTTTATTGCAGTTCCTTTTGATAGTATCAAGCATTTAATCTTTTCATTTAGCTTCGTGTACCGAATAATGGACAGAGTAATAAAGAAGAGAAACTTACACGAACGAGAATGTCGTTGTAACGTTACTTTCAAAATGTACGACCATTCGCGTTAATTAAAATTATTACTTATAAAACTAACTAGACGAACTCTCTCTCTCTCTTTTTCTCTTACATCTATTTTACAATGGATCGAAATACACGTTTGAAACTGATCTCTAACAACACATAACGCGTTGTCGCTGTGATTTCATCGAGTTAAAGAAGAAAATAAATTATTTTTCTATTGAATGTGCAGTGTGTGTAACTCGTCGCATTTTTTTTTTTTTTTTTATTAACACGAACATAATAACCTTGACGAACATAAATAAAGTGGATTAGTTTACGCTATACCGAAGGAAATTTGACCAAAAAAAAAAATAAAAAAATAAAAATACATGTTCGTTAGAAAAACAAATAGATAAAGAAAAATAATAGAGACAAAAAAATAGTATAATTTCGCCTTTGAAAAATGATAATAAAGCTTTTAGGAGAATAATGTTAAACGTTTTAGTTATTTTTCTTCCTTTGAGTTATATCCAGCTAATTTTTTTCTATCTTTTTTTTTTTAACTTTTTTTCTTATCTCTTTCTAATATAGAATAACTATCAGAATGAGGGAAAAAAGAGAAGGAGAGAACTGACGACGAGTTCTAAATCGTTCAGGAATCTCATTTCGCGTATTTAACCGTATGAGGAACTCATCTAACGATGAAGACACACGACTGATTGAAAATCTATTTAACTGTTTGAAAAATGTCAGAAATATTGTTACTAAGCTATATATATATATAGTTAAATATATTGTTAAATATATTATTAAAAATACAATAATATATAAGTATTAAAAATAGTATTAGGTATTTAGTATTTAATCGCATAAAGAAAATTTATTCTAATGATTTATTAACTATTAATTGAAAACTTAAATAATTATAAGAAAAACATTAGAAAAAAAAGTAAACTGAATCGATTATTCTAAAGTGTATTTAACCCTACGAAATACTTTTCTAACGAATTATACGCAAGTTTGAGAGATTGAAAATTTGTCGAAAATTATTTGAGAAATATTAAAATAAGTAAAATATATATATTACTACCATCGACATTTCATAATAATTCATTTAGAAAATATATATATATAACTAGAAACAAATAACATCTCTTTCTCTTTCACCATTTCTATTCTCTTTCAAATGACAAGAAAAAAAGAAAAAACCATAGAAAAATGAAAAGGAAAAACATCCCTAACCTTGATTTCAGCGTTTTTGGTCCTGTCTTCTGTATTGCTCGTATCTGTCTCTCTTTCTGCTCCTGTCTGTTGTCTTGCAGAACAAACCCTTTCTTTCCTTTTTTTCTAGTTGTAAGGTATACGCAACTTTTCTTCTGAAATAACCGCCAAACGTTTTTTTCCGATTAACGTGAATTGAAAGTTAGAAAAAAAATTGTTGAAATTATCAAACGCACAAGATAGATCCTTCGAAACGCGTTCGCGAAAAAGGACTGACGTCTGAATGAAGGCACGAACGATCCTACCGAACGAACGAACGAACGAACAACGACGAACGACCGCCCTGCTCACTCGTTTCTCCCCACCCTTCACACACTAACTCACTCATTCTCTCTCTCTCTCTCTCTCTCTCTCTCTCTCTCACTCACACACAACACACACACACATTCACGCAATACTCTTTCTCTCTTACTTGAAAATACAATAATAGTATTACTTACAAGTCGGTCACCAAATAAACCTCGTCGATGTTTGTTCACCGTGATCTATAGATCAATGATTCACACCCCGTAGATCACACACTAATTTCCTTTAAACAGGAATTAAACCGAAACAAACGACACCCGACATCAAAACAGCCCCTTCTAGTCAACGACTGATTTTTATCGAACTAGCCGCGGCGAAATGCGGATCGCGCTTCCGACGCCCTGACATCTTACAGTTTCTTCGTAAACTAATTGGTAATGTAGCGGTTTACACTCCAATTTTTCACCGTAGGAACGCAGGCAAAAAACCTTAACTGCAGAAAAAAATAAATAAGTGCTCTTAATTGCACACTATTTGTTCAATCAAAATCCATAGCTGCTCACTTTATTAATTAATTGTTTAATTAGTTATTAATAATTGAAAATACAAAAATTTTCTTTCCTATTTTTAAGCAAAGCAACGAAGTTTGCAACAGCAGAAAAAAATTAATAAGTGCTCTTATTTGCTTAGATTCATTTTATCCAAAATTTTTTATTTATCGTTAATTAGTCGAAAATAATTATTACACTTTGAATAGTTATGAAATGGCGACGTCATGAGTGGGAGATATGCTATACACATGCGCAACCACAAATTAAAGGCGCAAGCACACTTGGAAAAAAATGAAAGTAAAGTTGGTATACCTGCAGGGGATATATTTAAAGTTGATTTCCAAAGTAACAACTTATAAGATAGTGAAAAGAAATAAGTTAATCGTTTATAATGTATAAACAATAGGTACATATTTTCATTTTTTCATTTTTTTCTGCTGTTGCGGTTCTATGCCAACTTTTTTGTAGTGAAGTATCTAGAAACTCACAAGTCCCCTTTTTTATCTACCCAGCATCATTTTTGTTACCACTGGGACCACCATTGGACGATAGTATGTACTTAACGCGATGACGGTACAATACTATCAATAACAATATTCTTTTAGTTATATCGTAAGAAAATTTAAAATAATTATATTTAATTTTTAGTGTCTAAATACGTGTGTGCCTTCAGAAATGCGTTTTTTATACATATATATTTTAAAAAGTAGAAAAAAATCAAAACGAGTAGATGATAAATCCAACAATGATCACCTGTAACAAAAATAAAACTATATTAATCATACAATCAAGTGATACAATAGCCTAACATACAAATCGTCCGGTTCGCAAAGATGCACTTTCCAACTGAATTTTTTATTTGTTATTATCAGATCTCTATTTACCGTTGTAATGAAATTAAATTTAAACTAGTGATTTTACATTTACATAAAAAATATAAAAATAAAGAAATAGGAAAAGTACAAATATTGAGTTAACACAAAAAATATTATCTATTTATTATTATGAAATACTTTTAAGCTGCATTATATAGAAAAGAAAAATTGCAAATTTAATAAAATACGATAAAAATGACAAATTTTAAAGACAAAACAAGAAAAAAGAAATTATTGTAATATTTACCGAACGTTATTTAAGCTTAAAAATTTATTATTACGAAAATTTTAATATTTTTTACTCTAACTAACACATATGCATCTTTTGGACGATATAGACACGAATTTGGTGTCCCATGGAGATGGAATAGCCCATCATCTCCAATTACAACTACAAATTAATGACGAACAAAAAAGTAATATAATAAAATATAAAATATGACTAAAGAACTATTTTCGATAGGTTTGAACTTGCTGTTGAACCCTTGAAAATAACTCAATAGTCTATGTAGTTGCCCTCTTCAGCCACAATTAAGTGGGGGCCTCTTCGGCATTTATTTTCAATTATTCATAACTAATTAAATAATTAATTAATAAAGTGAGCAACCATGGATTTTGATTGAACAAATAGTGTGCAATTAAGAGCACTTATTTATTTTTTTCTGCAGTTAAGGTTTTTTGCCTGCGTTCCTACGGTGAAGAATTCGCGTAAGGATACATCAATGTTTCGTTTATCTTTTTGTATTAAGAATTTATGTCATATATTTATTACATTTGATTTGATTTATGGAATATTTAATGAAAATTTTTTATAAAATGGGGTTATTTAATAAATATTAACATTATCGTCGATTATATGTAAAATTTAAATAGATACGTTAGCACGACCAACAGATTGTTTCAAAACTAATGTTAAGGAGAAAATATTAAAAATTTATATTTTCAAGAATGCATATATGCATTTGTTTATAGCAACGATAAAAAAACGAGTTTAATTGTATCTAGATAATTTATTATTTTTTGATTATTCGTCAGTCAAACGTACTACAGAAAGTTTTAAATTATGATCGTAAAATGTACACGTACTCACTAATCTTAAGTTTTTCTCGTTATTTTGGAATATACCTCGTTCAGAAATACATTGTCGAGAGAGAAATGACCAATCGCATCCATAAGATAAACTTTCGTGATTATTATATTCGTCAACGATCGAAGGCGTCTCCGTATTCTGACAATCGATTACTTTAAATCCACCATACATACAAGCAGCCAATAAAAATCGACGCGCGAAAGGATCCCATTTCAAACGCCAAATACCACCATGCAAATCAGTTTCTGAAATCGGTCTCTTGAAATTTCTCGTATCCCATAAACGTAATATTTCGTCATAACTAAAAATCATTATTTATCTTTATAGAATATCTTATTTTATAAGGTTCTCTTTTTTTTTTTTTAAATACCTTCCCGATGCTAATATATGTTCTTCATCAACATTGCTATGAATACTAGTAACACCAGCAGTATGAATCCTATTAGTCATAGTAGGCTTATTTCCTGTTCTTATATCAAACCGTTGAAATTTACAATCATCACCACCTTAAATAATTATTATTTGTCAAATATTAGAATATTAATGTTAAATTTTGAATATGTAATTCGTACCGGTGTATATTATGTTTACATTCCAATAATCAAAAGCAGCTATCCATGCTTCATATTCATGAGATGACCACGATGTTAAATTTTTTATTTGGTCATTATATAATTCGAATAAAGATGTGCCACCAGTAGAATCACTAACTATTATCTTAGCTATGGAATTATCTTTGCTAGAATATTTTCCTATCGACCAGTCGAGAGACAAAGCTAGAATTTCTTCCTTCTGATCGTTTACTTTCAATTCTGTCATTAATTTTAACATTTCATTGTTCCCACTTAGTAATTGATAAATTTGTAAATACCCTAACGAATTAACTACACCTAACAATATTTTTTGATTACACATTCCATGTGCCCATTTCATATCTAGTACACCTTCTGTTTCTAATTGTTGCAATAACTTTATATTACCACCATTAACAACTTGGAATAAATATATTCTGCCTAAACGTCTACTTGGTTTCAATTCATTTTTTGCAACACTTTCTGTATTTTCTATCAGTTGATACGTCCCACATACGAAGAAGTCTTTGAATGGTTCTATGGGACACCATTCTACGGAATCTGCGTAAAGCTGTGTATCGAAAGTAGTCAAAGTTCGAAACATGTTTAAAACAAGCAGGTACACAATCTGGAACAGAAAAAATGTTCATAATAAATTAGGCTTAATTTATATTTTCAATAATATTTTCAATAAAATTAAATTTTGAGAATTACAATGTTTTACAATTGGTATAGATAATAAAAAAAGTATTACATAACTTGGAACAGAAAAAATGTACATAATAAATGAAATTTATTTTATATTTTCAATAGAATTAGATTTTAAGGATTGCAATACTGTAATTGATATAGATAAAAAATTTATTACTCTAATACAAAAGCTTTTATTTGTTTCATATATTATAACATATGATTAATGTTAATATCATGAATTAACATTGGTATAAAATAATACAGATACGGTATTATATATAAATGCACGCTATTACATAAAAATTCAAAACATATATATATATATAATTAATAAGTATCTGGAATTATTCTTTTTTTTCTATTGTTATTTCTTAGAAATAATAAACCTATCGAGAGAATAAAAAAGTACACTTGTAAGTACTTGATCTAGGTATACTCATATTCCTTTGGATATAGATATTCTATATTCAGATCACAGTAATATAACATTTTTCTATAGCAGTTAAATATATATATATATATATATATATTTTTTTTTTGGGGAGAGAGCATTTATATGTTTGTTGGATATAAGCAATTGGAGATAAAATTTGACTACTAATAAATGTATTACTCATTATACTGAATTGATAAATTATTAAAATAGTTAGGAACTTATTAACATCATCCACACACATACATATATGTATATATATATATTTAAAATCTTTCATACTGATCATTTTTATAAATCATAAAGTATATATCAATTATCTTATACCACTCGAGTCATACAGTATATAGTTTCATTTGCTTACAATATTATTCTTACAAAATCAGGAAATAAATATTTGTACTACCAGCATATCTTAGAGTAAGGCCATCTATTTATCAGAAATTCTGGCTATTGTATAATCTGTATTTATTAATAAGGAATATTGTACTATGAGTATTTTATGATTAGTTCGCAAAAGATAGATAAGTCTGTCTGTAAAACGATGTAATATATTTATTCGCATTTGAAGTAAAATATTCTGCAAAACTGGTGTTCCTTATCTCTTTCTTATTATGGCAGCAGTTTATTATTCTCAAATTTAATCATTTTATCTTTCTATTATATTTATAGCGCAGAAGATAAAATGCTTCTATGACATAATAACTTTATTTAGTTAAACTATCAGTTTATAGGAGTCGAGAAAGACATTGAAAGATATGGTGTTGGTCTTTACCATTAAAACTATATATTGATTTATACTAAAAATCTTTAGAATTATGCTTAACTCGCATGTAAACTACTTCTGCTGTTCTTATTTTTTTTTTGGCAGTGTTGTTATAATTTATTATATTATATTTCCTCCATTAAAATCATAGAATTTACATTTTTGTAATCTATAAAATGAAAATCAATAAGTTAAGTTAAACAACGAAAAAGAAACTAAAAAGAGGAAACTAATATCTTAATTTTAAAGTACGATAAAAACATAAACCAGGCAAGTTTAAGTTTTCATTCAGTCTTTAACAAAAATAAAAATCATATTAATCTCTTTGGTATAATTATTCTACTTAAATATAATATACCAACGTTCTCTGCATATATAAGCATTTCTTCGCATATGAACTATTGTTTAAAAGAATAAATAATTTAAAAAGATATAAAAGCGCACGCATGAAATGAGATTTCTCATATAATATTATGTTCCTAACTTGTACTATGATTTAGGTTGGTCGATATTTGAGGTAGATGATATAGTCCTAAAGAATAATATATTATTAGGTCTGTATCTTTCCTTCATAAAAATAGATATAGATTCTATAATTATGACTTTTTCTATAGTTTGATACGTTAACAATTTCTTTTTCATTTTAATATATAATCGAATAATAAGACAATAATACAAAAGACCTACTACTTCTTTTTCAATTTTCTCACTTAGTAATCTATACATTATTATTGACGAGCACTTTTTTCAGTTTCACCTAAGCATTCTTTAACTAGAGTGCGTGCATGTATTAAGCCACGTTTGACTCTTTCCGCTGAAGTGCGACTCCCTGCATAGCAAGGTCTAATTTCTCGACCTAGTTCTTCTATGACCTTAAGTAATTGTATGTATCTGGATTGACCAGGAATGCAAGTAGCAGTACTAGATACTACTGTATTTTGTTGCAAAGCTCTGGGATTTGGAACGTTTATCAACGGTTCTGTTACTATAGCAGAAATTTCTACATTTCCACGTTCCTCTTCCATCTTCTTAATCCTGAATTGTCTTCTATTATTTTCCTTATCGTTTACCTTAATAAATAATTCATTAATTTCAACAAATTTGAAACAAAAATATCATTAGCTAACCTTAATTAAACAAATTTCATATAGCAGATAAATTATTATAAAATTTCAAACAATATACACTTTTTCTATTTATTTATAAATCATAAGAGAGAAAAAGGAAAAGATAAGAGTACTACATATAGATCTAACATAACCTCGAATACATTTTTAATATAATCACAGAAAATATAGAAAAATTTAATTGTATTTACATACCTTAAATGATAAACCTTAATTACACTGCCTATATATAACTATATAATAAGTACATAAGCGAAAAACAATCAATCACTCAACTTTTTATTGGCACGCCGCAACTTGCAGGCGCAAGACGGTGCGCTGCAATCGTCTTTTGCTTTTCTGCACCATTTATGTATACATATGTATATATTTACTTACCTAACCTTTCTAAATATAAATAGAAAAGAAAATCTGCTTTCTTTAATATTTCGTTTGATTTTCCAAAATTTTAGTTATAAACAATAAAAATATACTGGTTACTGTATTTTCATTAAAACAACGTGTACGTATGTAATACAATTTATAGTTGTACCCGCGTTGTTTTGTACGTGCATACATACATGCATCCATACATACAAAAACAAACTGCATGTTTATTTAATGACGTATTTGTTTGAGATAAATAATGTGACGAAGAAAGAGAGAAGACATTAAAAAAAACTGAGACTTTATTGAGCAATACCTCATATTTATGTCCAGGGATTATATTTCTCGTAGGTACATTTTTGTTTCATCAATTTTCTTCTCGTACGTATACTATTAGGTAATTATTGTTTATTACCCGTTGTATTAACCAAAATTGCAATAAAATATTTTTTATATATAAAATATAAGTGAGAAGACTCTTCAGTTTACACATCATTTCTAGTTTGTTATATACTATTTTCTACATTAGAGAAATTTAATCAAATCTAAATATTATTTATAAATCTTTCTATTTCACCAGACCCAAACAGCAAAAAACATAAAACATCTTTTGTATAAAATAAAAAAAAGTTTTAAAACAATTTTTACTTACCCCCTTATTTAAAAATTTGTCCTATCTTTTATTTAATTTCATAGATAAACTAAAATTAAACAATTGAAGATAATTATATACGTACAATTAAACCAAAAAATATAATCAATTTAATAATTATAATATTTATATAATAAAAATAATATGTATTAAGCCTTAAATATCACTGGCTTAAAAGTTCTTCTCTTTGACAATCTAATATATCAAATACATTACAAGTATTTATCAGATTGAATAATATTTTGAAACAAGCAGTCCATTACAATGCATTTTGATTCATTGTCAAAGTGGTACTAAGCTTATATCGGCAAGATGGCATAATATACATAGCAGCAGATATATTATTTGTGACTTGTAAACCTCTTTCAGTTCATTTGAACAAAATCAATAATCTGCTGCTTTAAATGGATCATACATATCACCTTAAAAAATAATCTGCTAAAAATCTAGCGGCTAAGTTCATTGACAGATCATTGTCGCGCATTATGTTCAGTTTCTAACAAACATTCACGTACTAGAATCCTTGCATGCTGTATACCCATTTTCAGGCGTTCCGCGGCACTACGACTTCCTGCATACGAGAGGCGAATGTCTCTACCAAGTTCTTCGATAATAACCAGTAATTGGGCATATTTACCCTGGCCAGGCACAGACGGAAAGTTTATCGTACTAGATGGGCTAGCCTGTGCTACTTGAACAGTTTGAACATTTTGCAAATTCCTTGGGTTTGGCACAGTAATCACAGGTTCAGGAATTCTTGGAATTTCAGCAACTTTTGGTGGAGGAGGCGGAGGTGGTGGATCATTTAATTTTGTTATTGTTATTTCATTGAGCTTAGCTAACTCTGTTAATTTGGCCATTTCAGCTATCTTCGAGTACTCCGGTATTTTGGCTATATCATTTTGTATGTTAGCCATTTTTATCATTTCATTCATTTTAGTTTTTTCGTTCATCTTAGCTATTTCCTTAGCCATTTCATTAATTTGTGCGATCTCATTGAGTTTCGTTAAGTCATTATTGTATTTAGCCATCTCTGACATTTTAACCATTTCATTTAACTTGGCTATTTCGTTCATTCTTTGTGCCTCATTTATTTTTACCATTTGAGACATTTTAATCATTTCATTCATCTTGGCTATTTCATTTATCTTTGTAATGTCATTGTACTTAGCCATTTCAGACAATTTAACCATTTCGTTCATTTTGGCTATTTCTTGCATTTTTACATACTCCGTTGCTTTGGCGTATTCCGCCATCTTCTCCATCTCGTATCTCTTGGCCATATCTTGAGACATTTTGTTTAATTCAGTCATTTTACTAAATTCAGCAAGTTGAGCCATCTGTACTATATGTTCGGGAACTTTACCTCTCTCCATCATTTGTTTCAATTCGGCAGATATTTTGTTCATATTCATTTCAGACATTTGAGCAATAGTCGCTGCATCTGGCATTTTAGAGAGTTCAGCGATCTTAGATATTTCTCTAGCTAGATTTTCATCAAGACAACGCTTCTTCTTAGCACGATGCCTGGCCATTCTCTGAGCTTCTTGCATTCTCCTCAACGCAGCTTGTTCTTCGGTTTCTTTAGCTCTGGCGTTCTTCATTCTTTCAGCCGATGTATATAATCTCAAAGCACGTTCCTCTGCTGTTTCAGACATTAGTTTTTGTCGTCTATACTCTCGCATTTCCCTTACCTTTCTAAGGTAAGATTTTTTCTTGGCTTTGGGCATAACACGCAATTATGCAAATAACAAACATCGTTATTAATATAATTTGTCATCTTTACAAAATTTAGAAAAACAATTTTTAAGAAAATATATATTAGACATATACGTCCAGTCAATTACACTGTGTAACTTCCTTTTTATTTGTTGCTATATCCCAGACTGCTGTAGACACCTTTATGTCCAATAATAAGATAGAACTGCAGTATCTCTGAATATGATATTTATCCTGAAAACAAAAATTCACTTCGTTTTATTATCAAATGTATTAAACGTAATCGATATTATTATGTCAAATTAATCTATACAAATAAATATCATACATTAAATTACTTTTATATTCGTAATATCGTTTAAAATTCAACTATCATAAACAATAGAATCGATAACTGCGTTTAAAAAATAATATCCTCGATATAAAAATCTTATCAAATAAGATGACGCGCACATTAAGAACGCCAGCGATCCTTTAAGAAAAGGGTAAGAGCGTTAGTAGGATTCCTTCTTGTCTGTAGAAACGTAAAAGAAAAAAGAAAAAAAAAAAACAAGAGAGAAAGAGGAAGAAAAAAAAATAATAAGAAAGAAATAAAATAGTAGCCCGGCGTTTTTAAATGTATAATTATAAAAATGCGTCAAACGAAATGCGCGGGCGCGCGCGAGCGCAAGCGACAGGTGTAAAATTAGGGTTGCAAGCACGTGCGTAAAAAAGCATCGGTAAATGAGATTTTCGAAATGCTCGGGCGGGCGCGCGCACGCCGCGACACGCGTTTATATGCCGTATTCGTGACCGTAGTCGAGTAGAATAGTAGTGTAGTAGTAGTGTGGTGGCGTGCGTGCGTGCGTATATGTGTGTGTCGCGTCTCCGAAAATTCGAAAGAAGAGCGTCGTCGAGTCAAGTATAAAATGCGCATGCGCATCCGAGTTAAGAAACGCCGTCTTCTCTGGAATGTTCACAATCACAACAATGGCGGACGCAATTCGGTGAATCCACGTAAACGTAGGAAGAACCCACCGTTTGTTAATACCGGCACGCGCACGTGTCTCGTTTCACAATCGTACAATCCTTCAGACACACGGAATCTGTCTATATCGGCCAAATGAAAATCGATTTTACTTTTCTCAAGATATTCTGTAGACAAACGCACAAAAGGAAATATCGGTCTACATGTAAGATTTTCGTTCGGGGCCACTTTAAGGGGCCAAGCGGGGTCGCCGATAGGCTGCGTGTGACGTGGTTGCGTTTATTGACCATAACCCCTTCCTACCTCTCCGTCTGCAACTTCACGACGGACAGGTGTACGACCGAAGAGAGTAAGAGAGATAAAGGGAGACAGAGAGAGTTACAGACACAGGGAGAAGTGAGAAAGATAGAGGGAGAGAAAGAGAGAGAGACCGGGAAACTATTGACCGGCCACCGGCCGCGTCTTAAAATGCACGAAGACGTTCGCCGGACGACCACTAGGAGGACGGCGCCTTTTTTCTTTTTCTATTCTTTTCTTTTCCTCCCACTCCTTCTTTCTTTTCTTCTTATCCTTTTTTCTTTCTCTCTCTCTTTCTTATTCTATTTTCTTCTTATTGCTTTTTCAACGAACGATCGACCCACGAGGAAGCCCCCCCGACTGTTTCTTCTCTCCACTTACTTTGATTTTCTCCTTTGATATTTCCTGGTCCCAGACGCTCTATCTTATCCCTCAAGAGTTCCAAGGTCGTTACTCTTCCTTTAAGAAACGACAAAGTTTTGACATTAAGACGCATAATTTTCGTATACCTGTATTTAAGAATTTATAGGTTATGATTATAATCAAAATAGTTTTTATTTCGTTCAGAATATATAACTTCTTATTTACAATAAATTATTTCACTTAATTTTGTTTAGATTTTTGTTTAGAAGTTTTAACTACATTAATATATATAATAAAATTCGTTATACAATTCATTATTAACAATATTTTATAATTAGTGCATTTAAATTTTGAAACAAGGCCATATACGTGTAACAGATTTATATCTATTTTTTTTTATTTTTATTCAGAGTTTGATAGAAGAATATGAAAGACTTTTGAACATTTCATGTGTGTATGTTATGAATTTAGTTAATATTTATTTTATTTATAATACTTTCTTTTTATATAAAAAAGATTTAATTTAAATTATGAATTTTTTATTGGAGCAGTATTATGATTTTCATTTGTATTCGTTTTTTTTTATATTTGAAATTTCCCGCTTTGAAACGTCGTTGAAGCAATCATTATAATGGCGGATATGTAGTGATAACGTTTTTAGGAAATAAGGTTATGACTTACGTATAGATTGTGATAAAAACGATTTATTTATTGTATTACTTACTTCAAACAAGTGCCAAGTAAATATACACGATATAAGAATAAATTTAATAAACTTAAATAATTGTTAGCAATAAAAAAATGATATTAAATGTCGAACTATCGATACAATATGTTTGGCAATAGACAATCTTATTTAACTGGTATAGTTCGGCAAAAAAATACCAAGTAATTGGAGTTTATTGTAGATTGGAGAGAGATAGATTCTTCCACTTTACGTAGGTAGCGTTGCTTCAAGGTCATTTGTTCCCGAAATAACTTAGTACGACTAATCAAAGTTAATGTAACTCTAAATTTGTTTATATTTTTTATTATTCGGTTTTACAAATTAAAGGTTAACTTCCTTTTAATTCGTTTATTTAAGATATTTTTATTGATTTTTTTCTTTTTATTTCTCAATTGTTTTCAAATATATTTATTATCTTTTTCTTTTAAATAAATATATTGTTTTCTTACGAATATATGCATAATTGCATACGAATAATAAATTGAACGGTTTATTGTATATATAATAATTCGTATTTATAATGTTTATTTTTATTAAGTAATATCATCTCTGTTTGCAATTTATTATAATTTATAAATATATGCAATATAAAAATTTCTTGTGCAATTTAAAAAAAAAACAAACTGTACATATATATACAGGATGATGTATGTAATATACAGGGTGTTTAAGATTTTTTGTACAAAAATTGTGAGCGTATTTTAAGTTCAAAAATAAAAAAAACAATGTTATATAAACACAAGTCATTTAAAGCTTTATTCAAAAGTTATAATATAAATTATAAACTGTTTAAATATGCAGTTCAAAATGTTGCTCACCTATGCAAATACAAGTTTGACACCGCTGTAGATGCTGTTTATGATATTGCAAATTTTTTGTCAATTTCTATTCATTTCTGCAACTAAATAACATTTTTTCTTATTTTTTAGTATAGAATATGCTCACACATTTGTACAAAATAGCTCAAACACTCTATCACTCTCTCTCTCATTTTCTCTCTCTCTCTCTCTATATATATATATATATATATATAGAGATATAAATATAAATATTTTTCGTTTCAGATAGATTCATCATCAGTACAACAAAAAAAGGGAAATAAATTAAAGTACTTTTCTACATTTGCATATATAAATGAAGTATGTATATCCCGCAGCTCGAATATTATTTTCTTTTGTTATTGGTTATTATCCCAGTGTATCTATTTTTTAAGTTATGGTCATGGCTCGGCTGGGAATTATTTGTTAACAATTAAATCTTACTTAGCATATATATATGTACTTTGAGCGAATCATTTATTTTTATATGCTCTATATAGATTGCTTATTGATGCCATTTTGATAAAACTAATATAAACCTCGTAAAAGGTATGTTTGTACTTTTTCTAAACAAAAAAATCTTTTGGAATAAATTATCTTGAGTACCCATTCAAGAATAATTTTGTCGTTTGATCAAGTAAAAATTGTTTATCAATTATCTTTAAATTAAATTTGGTCATAAATTAAAAGTTCATCCAATCCCATTTTTCCTGTATGTTTCCATATTCTATATTTGGCAATATCCTTTCGAGTAATCATTCCAATTACCTGTGGTATTAATATAATTAACATTATTATCTAGTTTAGATTAACTTCTTGCATTATAATTTAATGCGCAGAACTATATGCCGAAGTCTGTGCTGTATTTTGTGCTTCTTATGTTTTGAACGTAAAACGAATCACGAGTCTCACACATTATTATAATGCAAGGGATTAAGCTATGGCAATTAGTGCATATGATTTATAATATCACATACCTCATTCACGTCATTTAAAACAGGTAAATGGCGAAGACCTAAAGCTCTAAAAAGTCTAAAAATTCGTGGCAATGAAGAAGACTGAAAAAGATCATTATTTTTAGATAGAATATTATTTTATCTAAAATATATATTATTAGAAAAAAAATAAATATATATATACTAACATGTTTTACTGCATATGGAGAAGGATTCATGAATGGTCTTAAATCTAATGTATATGTTTTTTCTTCTTCTGTTATTTTTACATCTTGGACAGCTGGATATCGTGGATAATCATGACGAAAAAGTTTTATATTCATAGATGATTCCCATGTTTCTGAGTATTCATTAAATATTTTGTTTTGTAAAAGTGCTATTAATTGAGAACGTAACACTAGTCCACGAAATCGACCATAAGATTCTATATAGGCCTGACAACATTTAAAATAATATTAGAAACATAATATCTACCAAATAGGAATTATAGAATTATTTGAAAATATATTTATAAAAAACAAAGAACGATAAATTCAAACATTACCTGATCGCTACTTGGAGGATCTATCACAGGAAATCCATTGTATGTAACAGATTTTAAAAGTTCTAAAATATGTCCTACATTTTCAACAGTTTTCAAAGTTGTTACAGGATGATTCATAATTTCACTAGCATATATATTATTTGACAATGGTGGTGCTTCCCAAGGTAATAATGGTATTCCTGCCATTTGTATATGAATGTCGTAAATGCCCTGTTGAATAATCATTATTAGATACTTGTAATTATATTTTGTTTTGTTATGGTTTGAATTGTTCTTTGATCCTTTTGACTAATTCAGTTTCCTTATCTTTATTCATGTGACAATCTCGTCAATCTGATCTATGATTAACACCCAATATCTTATCACATACTAATATTTTTCTACTAATATTCATTGTTATGATTACCTATTATAAAAATGTATTTATTTTTTGACGAAGAAGAAATAATTTATTGCTATTGTAATTCTATGTTAGAGTATATTTATGTTTTTACTGCTTTGTGATTTTCCTTTGTGGATAATGGGTAGAAAAGTCTTTAAGTAGGAAAAATATAGCAATATAGTTACGTAAATTTACAGTAACAGTCAACATTACACACACAAAACTACAGATATAATGGGACTGAGAATTTGATGTTTGCGAGAGGATATAAGAGTGGGAGGGTAAAGGGAATTGACCTTTAAATCTTCTGATTGAACCCATAATATTTGGCTTGACTAATAAGTAACGTCGGAATTTTCAATGATTTGTATTAAATAAATCAGTATAATTTATTCTAGTATTTCTTAATAGTATACTATTTTGGATTAGAGTTAATAAATATATGCCAAAATTTACAAAACATTGACAATGTCGACAATGCTTATTAGATTAATTTCCCTCCCCCTAAATGTTCTACAATTATTAAATTAAATTTAAAATTATTTACCTCGTTAAAAAAATCACCGACCCACTTCGCCGAAATAAGAACTATTATCACGGGCAAACCAAAAGATATTCCTTGAGTTGCTTCAATCAAAATTGCAGTTAAACTGATTGTCATTCTAACGGTTCCACCCAATTGTGCAGCAGCACCTAGCAAAGCATATTTTCCAAGATCTAATTCTACCTATTGCAGATATAATAAATATTCATTAGAGATGAATGCTATAAGGTCACAGTACGTACTCCAAAATTCTTTGAATTTTTTTCTTACAGAATCTGGACATATTTTGGATAATGCTGATCCAATAAGTCTACCCCAGGCAGAACCAATTAAAAGCGATGGAATAAAAAGTCCACTGGACATAGATAATCCAAATGTAAAAACAGCTAGGATAAAATAAAGTATAATAAAAATAGCCAAGGTAATATCATTGTGGGAACCTATGAAAAAAGAAAGAATATAAATATTCTAGTATTCCAAAAGTTAATTATAAAATATGTTATATTGTTATGATGTACCTTTAGGGTCATGAAATAAAGATCTCACACTACTTTCTGGTGTTTGAAACCATAATGCAGCAACTGCACTGTATTCTCCTTCCTTGCAATACATCTGAATAGGAAACCTTGTAGGATCTTGCCCAATGGGTTTACAATCATCGAGAAAATATATCATCAAAAATCCCATCGTTGCGCTCATTATTGCTACTGCAAGAGCTTCTATTACTTTCAACCATTTTTGTGTTATATATTTTAACCGAAAACATGTAATTTTGTAATTAATATGATTCCATAAAGCACCGAGAATACCACCAATTATTCCAACTATCATGAATAATGGAATTTCATAAACTTGGTACGGTAAGGACTCAAATTTTCCCAGATTTAGTAAACCTGGATAGGAAAGATCGCCAGGATGTCCATGGTAAGTACTAAGAATAATGTTCAGTGTGAAAGTGGTGATCATACTAGCAAAAAATGTTCTCCATGTTAGACTTTGATTAAAGAAGCTAGTACCTTCTTCGATACTAAATAAAACTCCACCTAAAATATTGATCTATAAATAAAAATTTACACTGGTATTTGTAAGCCTATATTTACATGCAGATATATTATTCTAGAAAATATTTTAAACCTATGGGTGCACCAAAAGCAGCAGATACACCACTGGCTGCTCCACCAGATACAAAATCTCTTTTTTCGTGATCTTCTCTGAAATACTTGAAGATTCCTAAATCTTTTTTAAATGTTGTACTTTTCCCTTGAGATATTCCAGCAGCAACTACCGCTCCTGAGTGTATCATTGGTCCTTCCTTTTTTATTAATATAAAATAACCAATGTAATGGTAAATGTTTACTTATAATTATTGCCAAAAGAATTCATTGATATTACTTTTCCTCCTGCTAATCCACCAACTACAGTGCAAATGACACCAATCGTTTTAACAGCTAATGTTTTAATTCGTACTACTCGAGGCACTTTAATTCCATTTAAATAACATTTAACTTGTGGAATGCCGCTACCAGCTGCAACAGGTTCAATGTAGGACACTAAAATAGCGCCTATCAATACTGGTATTAAATTAGAAGTTAACCATAATAAATATGGTAGCCATAAGCAATTATTAACTACACAATGATCTACATCTGTTATCATATGTTAAGAAAAATTTATCTTTGTATTGATACACAGCTTATAAAAAAAAAAAATATAGAAAAATTTGAATAATTAAGGATACAAGTTTTTAAATATCCATATTTTATATTGGATAATTGTTCTATTGAAATATCTACAAAACATGCTATCAAAGCAGTACAAATTCCTATTAACAAAAAGATGAACCATCTTGCAAAATTCTTTTTAACAACAAATTTGTAACCCTTCTTCCTTTCCTCGTCCTGAAAGAGATAGTTTTCACAAGGGTCATAATCGAGACTCTAGATTAAAGAAAAAAGATAAGAATCAATTATTGCTTAAAACTATATAACAAATTTTTTGGAGATATGAAAAATTACTTCATAATTAGTTGAAAGAAAATTAGTAGCTCCTGGCTCTATATCTCCGTTATAAATCTTTCTTGATTGTCGATTAATAAGACTTTCCATAAGATTGGATGAAGGAATGACATTGTGTATAATATTCTGTTAAATAAAAAAAGGACAAAATTTTTAATGATATAACAAGCATTAATATTCAAACAATTAAATAATTATTCTACCGTACAATTTTATTATTTTTCATAAATCTAACATTTTACCAATTAAAAAATAACAATAAATAAAACGATATACAAGAATACAGAAAGCAATTACATCGATAGCGCATAAAAATGATTTATTATTATGCTCAAAAATGAAGGCAAAAAAGGCAATGATAAATTGTACAAATTTATCTCCTCTTTCAAGACTTCCGTAGATGTTATTTGTAAACAAATTTAAAAAGAATTAATATTGAATACGAGATAAGATTAAGATAATTATTATCAAACAAAAAGAATAAAATTTGATCCAAAATAAATAAAAGAAATTGATCATTGGAATGAAAATAACACACAACTTGTTTTTTTTTATATTTAATAAGTTTAATCTTACCCGAAATCTAACACTAATATCTTGATTTGAGTAAGAAGGAAAATTATTTCGTGGTTTTAATAATCTTTCCTCGACGTCGTTACTTCCGCAAATATCAATTTGATCTAGATTACTGCTGCTGTTGTTTATTCCAATGTTATTGTCAGTTATTGTTGGACTATCCGTCATTTTATATTGTATATTAAATAATCTTTTCAAAACACCCGCTTTATTTGCTGCTATTAATGTTACAATTTCATAATTTTGATTACTTTTTATTTATTGTTTATAAAAAAAGTTAATGTTAATTAAGTAAAAAGTAACCTCACAACGAGTACAATATTAAAGACACGGTTTCAAATGATATACTGACTGGTACTAAACATAAGTAATATAGAGATAATGCTTTATTCATAATACATATGTATATGTCACGTGATTCTACGTAATACTGAATCATCTGTTCACACTAGCCCGGAAGTATAACCTTACTTTCTTATCGTTAGAATGAGAATGAGAACGAGAGAAGAAAAGAGAGATAAGATACGCATGCGTCAGCAATTAGATTATTGTTGAAGGGGCAGTAATTATTGTATATTGGAAAAGGAAAAAAGAGGGAAAGAATGATTCTTTTGTATTATATTTATACATATATACTTACGTCGAGTGAATTAGGCGATAGACGGCCACCAATCTGTATTCGCCGTATATTGTATTCTTTTTATTGTTTTTGGTAGCCATGTTTTAATAGAAGCCATCTTGTTTTTTTGGATCTTATCACGTAATTAATATTTATATATTTATTTTAATTTCAAATATAGTTTATATATTTATATTTAATACGTATATATACATATACATATGAATCTAATTTGTCTGTATATATTTTTTGATTATTTATGTAGGTTAAATTATTTTTAATGATTAATTAATTGAATACTTGATAATATAAGAGTTGATAATTTTCATATCTTTTTTTTGCACATTTTTTTCTCTTATTCATGACTGAAACGTATCATTGTTACGTTATTATGATATATATATGGATGTGTATATGTATGTATACTTATGACTCGGCTACAATCAATGTTTTAATACTATTAAAAGAAATATTTACAACTTTTAACGTAATTTTTTTTTCAGTGCGATAAATTGTATGTTTATGCTTTGAACGAAAAGAGTTTATACATGATTAATTTAACTTTGTTTTTTCTACAATTACATTTATTTTAAATCTAATTTTTATTCACATTTATTAAAATACTAAAGATATATATTAAACTTGTAGTATAATTTATACTAGTTTAACTATACACTATGCTAAGTATAATTATATTTAACACACAAAATATAAATAATAATTAATTTTGTGATAAAATTATATATATGTATAGATTTTTTTTAAATATATAATCACATATGAGCGTAACTTAAAAGTTACACGTTTTAATAGAAAAATATTAAAAAAATAAAAGTCAGGCTTTGTTCGACTTTTTTAGATTTCAAATTTTTTGTGACGTTGCATTTCGTATTTCGCAATAAAGGGTGAAAAGAGTATGAAGACTTTCCAGTCTGTAACCATCATGTGAAGGAATGTCGAGTAGATGGCAGACAATATCAACGAGACGCGATAATTCGCAATCGAGTGTGGTAAAATCGAGTGGCGCCTCGTTCAATTGATCTTCAACATCCGGCGGCCATTGTTGCATCAACGTGTCGATATCAGGCATTGCTTTAGTCAACTGTACAGCAGGCGGATGTTTACTTCGATGAAGTTGATTCATATCCTCGATCCATTTCTCTATAGCCTTAACATTTTTTTCCGCATCTTCGACTCTTTTTATCACTGCTTGCCTAGGTGCACTAGCACTTTTGCAATGGGTTCTTAATTGTAAATGTAATACAGCTGGGTCGGATTGTTCCGTACATGGTTCGTCTAATACAGCAAGACCTATTTTATCTTCAACACCGTCTGGTCTAGGGATTTTTATGAAGGCATCTATATCACCGACCGCTGGTATATAGTCGGGAATAAATGGCACCAACTTATAATTCAATTCTATCTTTTGTGGAGTGTACCTGAGCGTTTAGGAAAGAAAAATATTTTTAATTCTTATTTTATATTGTATAATTTTTGTCTTATAGTTTAAAGAAGAAATTCTAACCTAGAAATATTCTGAAAGAGTTCCTTCAACTCGGTTGATACGTTGAGATCTTCGAATTCCTTTGGATCGTACATTTCCATTTGTTTGGAAATACTTGATCCTTGGATATCATCATCGTCTGTTTCTTCGCTGTCTGATGGATCGCTACCGATCACTAATGATTTACTAAATCTCTCCTGATCAGGGTACCTTTAATTAGAATCATATTTTGAAAATTTTATATTCTCTAAATATATTAACACTCTAAAATGTCTTATTGATCTATTTTTGTATTTTTTTCTCATAAGATTAATTAATAGTTTACATTGAAAAGTTAACGTTTATTAAGTATAAATTATACTATTATGAGTTATATTTAATATTTATAGTTAAACTACTATTAATTATATTGTGATTTTTATATTACATATAATTTATTTTTTAGATATGAATAAACATTAGATTTCAAGTATTATAAGTTAGGTGTTACCTTCGAAATTCGCGCCTTTCTCGGGGTGAGTTAACCTCCAAAATATCAGGGACGTCGTTTGTAAAATTTCTTCGACCTCTTCTCGAACTCGGTGGCCTTGGATAATTAACTGGACTTTTAATTTCTTCTGCATTACGAACTTCGATGCTTTCGTCAAATTTACTGAAGGGGGAGATATCTCGTGTTTCTTCATCCTCTTCTTCGCTACTGTCCTTGACGTCCATTGTTTTTTTGATAACGATCGTTAACGAGTAGAAATTACTTTAATTGCCATTACACATAATATTACTAATTATTATCTTTTTTATATGATTACTTATAATTATCATAATTCAAATATTACTAGAAGTACTTTGACGAAACACTATACGCATTTATTGTCGAATGAAGAAAGACTTTCTATTTGTTTTGTATTCCGTTGCCATGGTTTTTACATGTGATCGATTATAATTCACTTAATGATAATATTTTATCTACTGAGTATTTACTTAAAATCATTGAATAATTATCTTTCATTTTCATAATATTAACATTATCAATAATTATATGCTGTAAATTAAATAAATATCCATCTATCTAAAACCTGTTTGAACAATTGCAAAAAATTATAAATAAAAAAGTTGAAGAATTAAACAATTCTTTTTGTTAATAAATAAAGAATGTTTATTAAAAACTTTTAATAAATAAAATGATTAATTTTTATTTTTAATAATATTTATGTTTATCGAGTTTAATAAAATGTCTGATATCTCAGTAAAGTAGATATCACATAAAAAAGAAATGCATGAAATCAAAAAGATCATGTAATCTTACTTTCAGTCTCGACTCTAACCAATTTTATGACTTATCATGTATAGTCTACGCACACTTGATTAGAATTCATGACGCATCTGGAATTCCCTTTCGCATATGTACTCAAACATATATTTAGTAAATATAGATACAAGAGTTTAAATGTACCAATCGTATTTCTCTTTCTCTCCTAATCTTTCTAAATATTATCCGAAAATATAATGATTTTCTCACTTATGATTAAAAAGTTTTAACTTATTATCTGCCTTCAATGTTACGTCTCGTATCGTGTTATTTGACGAATGACATATAATTGGCGTATGACTTGCAATATTTGATTTACAGATAGGTATGATACACTTTATTTGTTTACGTAATTTTTTATTTTTAGAATAAATTGATATAACGCAGAGATTTTTTTTTTATAGATACACATTTTCATTCGCATTCTTTTTTTTTTATTTATTTGATTATTTATGATTATTTTCTTTTATAAAAGGACAACCGGAAACAACAGAAACGGGTATCCTAATATCAAGGAAGTTATATATTTAACATAATTTATGAAACGCAAACAATAAAAATTACCGTATTATAGAATCTTTTATTTTCTTCAAATTAAATCTGATAAATGATTTATATAAATAATGTTTCTTTTTTATGGGCTATGTAGACATGACGGTTCTAGTCTTTAAACATTTGTAATAATGGCGGATTTTAAGTCTGATCAAATGTACTTCTGTACTTCCTGTAAATAGCCATAAAAAAGAAAAAAAAAAATTTTGAAGTTTCATAGTTATTCAGTCAACCGGGCTTAAATAAATGAGGAAAGATCAAGTGCAACTGATACAACTGTATTCCGGTTTGACGAAAGGTATTTACATATTTATATACACACATACATACATATGTATATGTACACACATATATTTAAATAGATAAAACAAACGTATATTAGGACTGTCGGTTACGGTAAATAAAATTCGTCTATACCCCCCACGTGTTTGTTGCATGATCATTCTCATTTTATCGTTAACAATTGTTTGCGTATGGAATTTCTCATAAAACTTGTTCGTGGCTTTTTTTGCAGACTAAAAAAATCATTTAACGTTTAATTCGTCAATGTAATAAAACCGACAAGGCTCGCATGGGTTCAGATCAAATAAGGATCTATTAGGACCAATGTTACGTAATTGTCTTATCTTGTTTATTATCAACCGTACGATAATGCATATATTATATGGTTGTGTGTATTCAGAAAAAAGAAAAAATAGAAGCCAAAAAAAAATACGTCGAAGAAGAAAAATATTTTCGTTATTATGTTAAAAATAATTGTTTTAGGTAATAGATACATCTTCTAAATGAATATTTGTCTTATTTTAAGATTTAAATGTCTAGATAATTATACGTTTATATGTTTTCACGTTGAATAAATTATTCAAAGATCGATGATTCATTGATAATAATCTTTTAAATTTAATACTTCTTTTCTATGATCATTTCTTCGTTTATGTATAAATGTATATATGTATGTATGTATGAGTGTTTTATGTGTAGGTAGTTACATATGTTTAATTAATGAGCATAATTTCACAATATACACACATACATATATATATATATATATATATAATGTATTAAATATACAGATATATGTTTTTATATATACATATATGTTCAATTCATGAAAACAGTTTGTTTCACGAGCTATAGATTAAACTAGTTCCAGTCAGATATGGCCGGTTCACCGGTTTACTTTCACCCGCGTAAATACTCTCTCATCCCTTCAATGTGTCTCTTCGAGGTCGATCATGCAACTTGATCATCGTCATTTTGATTACGAATACGCTGCAACATGTTTTATGCTGTCATTGAAGTCACTCTTATGGATATAGTCTATTACTTCTTATACATCTATCTTTATATTCTTTATTTCTATTTCTAATTTTGAAAAACATGTCTATTATATCTTTTTAATTTTTTTTTCTTATATAACGAAATTATTATAAGTGATCTTGATTGCATTCATTTATATGGGATAGGAGGAAAAATAAAAATGAATATTGTTGAAAATGTTATTCAAAATTATAGGATTTTGTTATTGTAATATATAGATTTATATAATAGTTTTGTTTGCGTTCCGTGTATTATCATAATAATATTACTATTTCATAAAAATAATGATATATTAGAATATTATATATATAATTGGAGTTAAAATTATATTTACATATTTTGTAGATTTATTATTTATTTTATTATCTAATTTATTTTGTGTGTGCATTATTGATTTTTATATTTTCATTATTATTTCTTTATTTATTTATATTTATTTACTTAGTGTGGATTAAAAATTTTTGGTGAGTATCTCAAGTAATGTTTTTTCTCCTGTTTCCTTTATGTCCCCTTTCGCCACTAAGAAACTTTGACCAATTAGAATGCAACCCAAGTTCGAAAGTATTCCCCTAGCTCTTCGCCTAAAGAATGTCTTGCCCCAAGGACTGGAACCGTTTACGGTTCCGACAAATTTTTCTTAGAAGTCCACTGATGTTGGACCAGTCATCTCTGTTTATACCGGCTCATTGATATGATTGGCTACAAATAAAAGAAAGAAGATTCTGAAATAATTTCCGTTCTGCCAGTCTGGATATAATAATCATCCTGATCTTTTTTTCACTTGCACTATTATATTATTACAAATTATTATCCTTTCTAGAATAAAATTACAAGAAATACAAATTTAATTCCATCGTTTATATTCGTTTTATATAAATTATTAATTACTTATGTAAAATAATATATAAATATCTTTTAATTATTATTATTATAAACAAAATTTATGTTGTACTGGAGAAATGAGTAGGGAAAGTTAATGAAAAAAATTATTATATTAATTATTTACAAAATTGATTAATTTCGATTTACGAATAGATGCATTTAATATTATTAAAAATAAAAATAAATACACACACATACACAATGTAGGCCAAAAGTCTCTAAATGATTTTAAAAATCAATTATTCTTTTCCGAGACTTTTTAGGCAAATTTTTGTTTGTTAGATCGCAAAATGACAATCTTAGGTATCTATATCGATAAATAATACATTGCACACTTCGTCAATTCTATTTAAACTATTCAAGTTCTACAGTTTTTTATAATATGACTAAGAAGGATTAAACAGATTCCTTTTTTTATCGGTCGATCAACCTGTTTCTCTCTTAGAGTTGAACAATCTAAGAGCATACAACGACGAGTCACGAAATTATTGACATACCAGAGAGTATACAGGAATATAAAAAATAAAAAAATTAAATAAACTGACACAACAAAATCATTTACTTTAAGGGATTTGATAATTTATTGTTAGACTCTCTCGAGAGATGGGTATATTCTACAAAAAATTCTATAAACTCTATAAACTATAACTCTATAAATTCTATAAACTATATAAAATAAGTTAGGAAATATTTTTATTTCGTGGAACACATACGGTTAAATATTTCAAGATATCTTCATTAAATTTTTTTGACATAAATATTATAATATATTAAGAAATGACGGCGCGCTGAATTAATTTCCATGGAAATCCCCCGTACGAAATGCGCGCAACTGGTCGCGTATGTACCACCGTCGTTTTTTATTTGAACAAAAAAAGAAAAAAAGGAGAAGGTTTAGCTTATTCGTAAGTAGTATCGCTATTACAACATAACGTACGCTTTTTTTTGTCCGATTATCTGGGAATTTATAATGAGTAGAAGAAATCTTTTTTCTGAATTATTTTTTTTTTTTTTTTTTCAGACATTCTTGAAGTCGTATTAAACTGCGTGTTTAAAAAGAAAAATATTTCGTTTGATACTTTCGAGATATATTCCGAATTTTGTTTAGAATATACTCATTTTTCGAGATCGGTCTGTGGGTGAGTGAGTGATTAGATTCTTTAAAAAAATGAAACGAAATATATTTATATAAAGTTGAATCAATTCGTGAAATTAATTACGATCAACAAGATTATTTTCTTACGTGTCATAAAATTTAATAACCATAAATAATAGCGAAAGCATTTTTAATAAATAAATAATGTTTATATATATATATAACTTTTTAATATTTTTTCTGCATTCCTATTCACGTAAAAGTTGCGCAATATAAGTTGGATTATTTGGATTAAAGTTATTTTCCAACTTGGTGTAAATGAATTGGTCTTAATAAGATATACATAATACATTAAAAGTTAAATGTAATGGTACACGTTTCAGATGAGATTCACAATCAGTTTCCCCTTCTCGATCGAGATTTGATTCGTTGTATCCGATTGTGGTGATAGTTCAGTTATCCCTACTACTTTCTGAAGGAGAACCAACAGGTCTGCAAGAATGATCGTGAAACAGTCAGTGGTTGTTTCGAGCTCAAGTAGGTAATATCCACTCACGTAAGTGAAACGTGTGAATACGGATGTTAAAATGTTGAAATAAGTTAAAAAAAAAAAAAAAAAAAGAAACATAAACCCACGCGTTTACAAAATCAATTCGTCAAATCTTTTTTTCAATTTTCTTTTTTTTTTCCAATTCGTTTCAAGGACGATTATTTTTGTTTAATTTCTTTCCCTATCGGTCATTTTGGTTCTTTTTTTGTTTGTTTGTTTTCGTTTGAATTAATTTAACAAGGATACGTCGATATTATTTATTGATTTTATTTTTATTTTGGAAGACAAAAATGGGAAAGGTAAGAGTCATTTGGTATATTTTACAAAAAAATTGTTCTTTCTTTTTAATTTATTATTTTATGTTCATTTTCAATTTAACATTTGTATTTTAATTATAAAAATTTGTATATACACATTTTTATTTAGTGTATGTTTTATGTAATATTTTATTGTTTATATATTTTCTTTTTAATATACCACACTTTCTAAAAATTATTACATTATCGTATACGAAGTTTATTTTGTAATCAATTGAAAGTAATTGCACGCATAACGAATGAATTATTTTTAATAGCAAATATAATCAAACCAAAGTCATACACAGATTCAATTTTATTTCTAATTGTTAATGAAAAGAAGTTGTGTTTCCTATGTATATTAAATTGCATATAATATAATTAAATTATGTGTATATAATAAAATAACAATGTTTATAAATAATTAATGTAATATATATTTAAATGATAAAAATTTGCAATAATAAAAAAACATTGAATTTTAGAGATCGATTTATTTTTCGTTAATATTTTATAACGTTATCTTATTGTCAGAAAAGAAAGATAATAGGGGGTTTTTTTTTTAATCGATTGATTGGGAAATCGTAGTCTATATAAAAAAAATGGATTATACATTCCATCGCTATGCTTGTGTATATTTGATTTAATGGTAATCGTTACTTTTGCTTTGAAACGACGAAAAATTAACATTATGGTCGATCGATTGATCACGCACGTTCCTCGTTCATTCAGGAATAACATTCACATTCTCGTTGTTATGTCTATCTTGAAAGAGACAGAACAAGAAGAAGAAGAAGAATAAGAAAAAGAATAAAACTTAAAGAAGAAATGTTTACTCAGACGTCTCGTCGAAAAACTATTTTTCTCCCTCTTTTTTATTTTTTTTATTTTTATTATAATTATTATTATTATAATCTCGATGAAAATCTTACGTAAGATTATGAATACGCGGTTTAGCAAAAGTTATTTTTGGTTTTTTTTTAAAAATGAATTATAATATACCACTTATATTGAAATTTTTTTTCTGACTTGTTGTTTCGCAATGTGATAAAACTAAAAATTAAGGAAAAAGTTTCGAAAGAAAAAAAGTAGGTAATTTTTGAAATAAATTAGACATCGTTTTCTTATGATTGGTCCATGTTAATTCTCCGATGGAATAAGTAATTCTGCAAATATACGAAATAGAATAGAAGAATACGAATAGAAGTCCTATACATATACGTTTATATTAATTATCAAGATTAAACATTAGGTATTAAGTAGATTTAATATTAAATATCGAGCGTGTCGATTTAATTACCTGATACTTATTTAAAGATAAAAATAAAAAACAATAATGTGCGACCACTTTGACAAATATTCATTATCAAAGTTAAATAGAAATTATCAGAAAATGAATAATCGATATTACAAAATTTAACATTCATTTCAAGTAATGCGAATATTAATCATTTTAACAGCTGGTTTATTAATATCGTACGTCAAACTTTATACGAATTTGGAAATATAATTTCTTGTTAGATTCATTAAGTAAACATAACGTCAAACGATCTGTCACACTAATAATTCTACTGGAATAATAATAATAATGATCGAGCTCTGAAATAAAAGAAAAAACGAAAGGCTTTCACACGAACGATCTAACTTTTTCCTTAATATTTTTTATTATTATTTTAGTCTCGTTATTTTTTATTACTTTTTAAAAGTCTTCAAAACCGTGGTTGGTTAAAGAGGAAAGTGATTGTTCTTGCTTTCTCGCTTTCTCGTCCATTTTTAGGTAAAGAACGTTTCATTATTACACAATTTTGGTTGTTTTCTTTACTGATTCAATAAAACATTTCGAATGGTCGATTAAACCTTGTCAATGTCGAGTAAAATTGATTCATTTCTTTCAAATGACACATACACACAGTAAATTATACTACACTAGTTTAAAAGCGTATACAAGGTGGTCGCAAACGTATCGATTAAATTTGAAAATTTGATTATACAATTTAATACTATCAGAAAAAAATTTGTCTGATAAACGCAAGTGACAAAATGTCTCTTAAATAATTCAATCGACGTGTTTTATAAATTATTACTAATAATCAGAGAAACGGTATGTACTTTTTTTTTTCTTTTTAGCAGAAAAAAGTTGCAGAAAATTTTATTCAAATGAAATAATAAAAAAAAGAAAAATAATTTCAGTAAGTTTCACGGTATTTGAGATAAGCAGTTTCTCTGAAAGTTTGGGGTCACCATGTATAATTAAAATTGTTATGTCAGTTAGGTGTACATCCCGTAATTACGTGGACGAGAGTTACTTAAGTCTGCGATGTCCACTTCGATAAGAGTTACGTACGGATAGTGAAAGGAATAATCTCAAAGATTCTACATTCTACTTTTATTTTTATCCTGTACTCGGTTAAAACGATTTCGCGATTAATTATCAAAATTAGGGAAGGTGAAAATAATTATTAGGGTTTATATTCTTGGGAACGAAAAGTAAGTTAAATGAAAGGATAGATAAAAGATAAAAAAATAAAAAAAGAAATAAAAAAGAAAAATAATCCGGAAACCTGTAAGGTCATCAAATTGGATACGTTGTAGCTACGATTAGAAATGATTGTGGTGTTTGTAAACTGGTTAAAAATGATCTTATCATAAGGATTTGTTGTGATTAGGGATTCGTTGTAGGAAAAAGAATATCAAAGAAACAAATCAATTAAGAATGTTCAACAACAAAGATAAGAAGAAGAAATTAATTGTGATAACAATTATTTTCAGTTCTTGGGTGTAGAAGGATTTTATGAGTAGAATCTGGATTATTAAATGATTCAAAATAGTTGACGGAAAAATCAATGAATTGAGTTCGAATCATGGATGATAATTATATTCAAAAATTTAAATATTATATTTTATTTTTTTAATCGCGTATAATATTTAATATAAAAAATAATAATATAATATTATATTATATATTATACAATTTGCATTTTTTTAATTTTTTATTTTTTTTTTATTGTTACACAACAAGTTCACATTAAATAAACCTTCACTTCCGACATATCATTTTTCTTTCTCTCTTTCTCTTTCTCTTTCTCTTTCGCCATCGTTTATTTTCACCATTTAAAAAATATCTTTATGAATATTTTTGCGATATGAAATAAAATATGATTCATATGGATGCGTTTAAATATACATATAAAAAAATATCAATTTAATTAATAAATATGAAACGTGCGATATTTAAATTTCTTTTTTTTTTTTCTCGAGATATTCACATTTGAAAATAATTACTTTGTCCATCTTGAATATCTCCAATATTTGTAATAATATGAAATAATGTTAGGTACAGAATTCGAATGGCATAAAGGGAAACATATCGTGATGCTAATTTTGTGTGTTGGGGAGATTTCATGGTCACCTTCTTTTTTATTGTTAAGACGATTTCAGCAAGCCATTAGTGAAAATCAAAGTGAAGCTATCATTCAAGGTAGACAGAGTTATTGTCCCATAACTGTATAAGAGAACATATAATAAAATAGGTTTTTCCACGGAAAAAACCATATTACTATAATCGTCGTTCATGCAATGATTATGCGTACGTTGCGTGCATGTGGCAGTAAAATTATGGTGGATTAGAGTCGTTTAATCGAATGGTATTTCCTTTAGATTTTTTTTTCTTTTTTTTTTTTTCTTTTAAACGTTGGTAATTCCCAATGGACTGATCTATTATCGTTTTTTTTTCTTTTGCTAGCGTTGAACAACTTTTCTCTCATACTTTTGTATACTTGCTGAATTTGCAATAGCATTTACTTAATAGTTGTCGACAGTCGTTCAAGTTAGATGTTTAGAAAGTGTCCTTGAAGATCTACGAACGCGAAGATTTTCCTTTATTACTCGAAGATCGACGACCTTTGTGGTTTATTTCTTTTCCTTTATTAGATTTAATTGGCTGCGACAGGACACGATCGTAATAACAACAATAACAATAACAACAACAACAACAACAATAATAATAATTAATAATAATGATATAAATAATAATGATAAAAACAGTTTTTGGAAAAATAAGTAATCGAATTGTTAAGCACAATATTAATATAGTATTTTTTTAAATGAATTATTTGTTCTTTCATCTTATATATAATTTTATTCAATTTGTTTCAACAATTTTAATGAGAGTATTAAATGAATGTCCATTTCTTTTTTTTTTTTTTTTAATGTATTTATTATTTTTTTTTTTAATTTATTGTAGGCAGGTAAACACAATGCTGCATTCGTTGGAGACGATGGAATATGTAACGGCCAGACTAATGTTAATCTTAAAAATTCGACACAAATCGAAAAGGTCTGTTCACATTTGAAATAATTAATAACAACAATAATAATAACAATTATTATTATATGCAAAAATAATATTCGACAGATTTTTGTAATATGTATTTTTTTTATAGAACGACGACAATTTTAACATTAATTATGGCGTCGATGATAATAGAAAAATTACCCAACCAACACTGGCGATGGAAGAATTGGTAAACATGAATCATTGTTTTTTGGTATTTTTCGTTATAACACTGAGCAATGATTTTCTTTTGAAAAATTATTATGAATTATTATGAAAAATATATAAAAATTATTATATTTTGACAGACGATAGTAGAAAAAAATGTTGAAAGAGCAACATGGGGTAACAGTATAGAATTTCTCATGTCTTGCATCGCAATGTCGATTGGTCTCGGCAATGTTTGGAGATTTCCATTCACGGCATACGAAAATGGCGGAGGTGTATTTCTAATACCCTACATAATCGTTCTTTTCGTCGTTGGAAAACCATTTTATTATTTGGAAATGATATTAGGTCAATTCACCAGTAGATCATCTGTTAAAATGTGGTCAGCAGGTATGAGAACTAATAATTCCTTTAATTTTAAACTTTAATTAAAATTTAAGGGAACATCAAATATTTTTTAACATTAATTTCTTTTCTCTCTCTTTTTTTTTCTTTTTCTTTTATTTTTCTTTTTTTGAATTTATGTTAACAACAGTTCCAGCTTTTCGTGGTGTTGGCTGGGCCCAAATGTTCTCAATGATCGCAGTTGGTACATACTATTGTTCCTTGATATCAATGACCTTGTATTATTTGATTGGTAGCTTTCAATCCCAGCTTCCTTGGTCAACGTGTCTTCTCGAATGGGGAGATACTTGCGTTGATTCAATCAAAGCCGAAAATTCAACAATTCGTAATGGTACGCACTTGAGAAGTTCCGCTGAATTTTATTTCACGTGAGTAGCTGTTTTACTTACTCGCTAACAGTTAAGATAAAATCTTATTGTAACGTCAAAACGAGAAAAAGATGATAAATGTCTGGGGGGGTGGGTGGGGGTGGAAGGGGGAAAGGATCTACAAACAAAAAGAAAAAAAAAAAGAAAAAAAGACATGATTTATGCAAAAAGTCTTGACGTTTTGAGATCTGATTTTACAGGACGCAAATATCTTATTACCGCGAATGTATTAGTAGGTTTCATTTATATGGATGTGCAGATATAATATAAGTCTGACAGAAGATTTTATCTTGGTTACTTACGACAGCTTAACACGACTTACTAAAGTTTAATAGAAGTTGTCCCGTTGATATCTCATGTAAGTACGTCCTCGAGATGCTATCAAATTATAAATCTTTAAATGCATTATTACATAATGTATTAAAAAAAAAGGGGATATATCTCGATAAAAATCAGGAAAGTTAATAACGTCAATTATTACCATATTTGTTCGACATTGTCAACAATGTTTAGAAATAATCTTTAACAAATCTCGTGATATTATATTGGCCCACCATGGTCATTTAATTTGCAAAAATAATCACATTGGTGTTTTATTTTATTATAAATATATATTTTATATATTAATCCAACAATTATAATAGGACCTAAATATTATTCGAATATTATTATATATTAATATATAACTAAATGAGCAAGGTAAAATTAGAATTTATTGTAATGTTTTATATTTATTAACAAGTCATAATAAAAATTTTTAGTTGCTGATGAAGTCCCCAGTAAGGGACGAAACGTACAACTAGTTCAAAATAAATTGTTCATCAGATTTATTAACCGTCTATAATTCCCTTTGAGACTTATATATTAATATATTTTTTGGACAAGAATATTGATAATTAAATTATTATATATATTTGTTTGTTAATACAGGAAAACAGTATTGAAAGAGATACCTAATATCGACAATGGTTTAGGTCTACCCGATTGGAAATTAACTCTCTGCCTTTTTGTTGCCTGGTGCAGCATCTTTGCTGTCCTTGCACGTGGTGTTAAAAGTCAGGGAAAGGCAGCGTACTTCCTAGCTATATTTCCTTACGTGATTATGATAGCTTTACTGATTAGAGCAGTTACCTTGGAAGGAGCAAGCAATGGTATAATCTTCTTTATCCAACCTAAATGGGACAAACTGTTTGATCCGAATGTTTGGTACGCTGCTGTGACACAATGTTTCTTTTCATTGTCGGTTTGCTTCGGCGGTGTCGTCATGTATTCCTCCTACAACGATTTCAGGCACAATATTTACAGGTTATTCATTTTTTTATTATACGATCTTTAAAAACCTGTTCAAAATGATTCGAATTATGAAATTGAAATAAATGCAATTCGATCATTTTTTGGGATATGATCGAAGCAGTATTTACAACTTTTTAGGTATTTCAGTATAATAATTGCACAAATTCAAATATTAAAAATAACTAGAGCAAATTTGTTGTTTAATTTACTTCATTCATTATTGATTTTTTAACCAATAACTGAAGTAACTTACATCAATCACTGACTCGTCTCGTGAAACAGACCAAAAAAGAATGCTGACCGTAATCTTTTCAAATTTTAGAGACGTCATGGTCGTGACCACTTTAGACACCTTTACTAGTCTCATGGCCGGTTTGACTATTTTCGGTATACTTGGTAATCTCGCTCACGAACTTGGCACCGATGATATCAGCAATGTTGTCCGAGGTGGGACAGGTTTGGCCTTTGTTTCTTACCCAGATGCTATCGCAAAATTTACAATATTACCAAATGTAAGAAACTAATCACGATACTGGATTCATCATCGATAGATTTCTTTTTATAAAATAATTTTTTGTATTAAATTCATTTATGATATATTTCTGAGTAATTCATAAGTTATGAGAAGAAAGAATAACCGTTATTTATTCGTTCGTCATTTAAGAAAAATGTTTCCTTCGGATTCTCAAGGTATACAAGATAATTTTATATGGAATAGTCATTCCTTTCTAATTGTAAGCTATGACATTGAAAAAAATATACCTTCATTCAATAGAGTTTGTTTCACGTAGTTGAATAATCATCATCGTATTTATAAAATACAAATCATTGAGAAGTATAATTAAACTTATATAAAATATTACAAATATTTATACGAAATATTAATTTTAATTATATATGATAATAATAAGAGATCTATCTATCGATGCGAACATAGTTCTAATTTATATCGTAAATTTCTGATCAACGTTATTTATATCTGTTACAGTTGTTTTCTGTGCTATTTTTTCTAATGCTCTTTGTTCTTGGAATTGGGAGTGCCATTGCGCTCGTAGGTGGCATAATCACTATTATCAGTGATCAGTTTCCAAGTTGTACGCATTGGCATATTGTACTTAGTACATCTGTTATTGGATTTTTATGTGGTATTGTTTATTGCACACCGGTTAGTAAGATTATATTTTTTTATCTATTACTATAATTATTTTAATTGTAATATTGTTTAGTGTACACATTATAGTATATAAATATTAATATGCAATATTTTTGGAGATAAGTTAATAAATGTAATTGAACAAAAAAAAATGTTAATTGTTTATAGGGTGGTCAATTTATATTAGGTCTGGTTGATTACTACGCTGGTTCCTTTATCGTGTTCGTATTGGCTACACTTGAAGTTACTGGATTTTTTTGGGTTTACGGATTAGAAAATTTCTTGGACGACGTTGAATACATGTTGAAGAGAAGGCCTTCAATTTATTGGAGAATTTGTTGGGGTTTTATCACACCACTTCTTCTTGCTACTATTTTAATTTATACTATTGTTGGACTAACACCACTCACTTATGCTGGTGTTTTTTATCCACCAAGTGCATATGGTATTACTATTATTTTTATTATGTTTATCGTAACAATAAGTAGAGTAGTTTAAAATTGATCTGACCGTTTTGTAAATAATTATATTTACTTTAATCATATATATGTTGCCTTATATTTATTTTTTTATAAAGTAGTCTGTAATAAAATTTTATTTATTATTAATTTTAGCTGCTGGATGGATACTATTCTCATTCGGAATAGTACAATTACCATTTTGGTTGATATATACGATGATGTGTAAACGAAATTTGGGCTTGCTAAAGGTATACAATTTAAATTATTATTTTATTATATTATTACATAAACGAATATTATAAACAAAAAAAAATCAAATAATAAATAAACATAAAAGTGTACTATATAAAATATATATATATATGTTCTTTGATTTTAGATGTTCACAAAATCTTTCAGTCCCTCAACTCAATGGGGCCCAAGAAATATTCAAGAATTGGCCAATTGGAAGGAATATAAAGAAGTGATGAGAAAAAAACGTGAAAAACGTAATTGTTCGCAATTAAAACAATTCGTTTATGTTATGTTCTGTTTAGAAGAAAAACTCGTATGATCTCATTGTAACAAAGAGATTGAATTTTTTGTATTATTGTAACACCTCGCACTTGCATACATACATACATACACGCATCACACGTAAACATATTTTTATTGACAAAAAGGAAAACTAATTAAAAATGAAAAAACTGACAAATTGTTTTTTACATTTTTAGAGTATTAAAAATATAATCAAAGAAATTCAGGAATATATTTTTGAAAAACAAAAAATAATAAAACATTCATAATATAATATATTAATTACTGAGCTTAAATAATGAAATATGTAAATAATTATTTTTCCTTTTTAACATTTTTGTGAATAAAATTGTAATTAATATTAATTTTGAAATAATTTAATATGTTTAAATTTCAAAACAATTTTTTTTTCTTAGATGTGTGTTACACGATACTAAGAATATTTTACAAAATTAAATCGTTTCACATTTTTTCATGTTACAAAAAGAAATTAATATTATTACATAAATCTTAGCGTTTCACACCTTGATGTCTTTTTTAAATAATTTATATTTAAATCTTTAGTTAAAAAAAAATTGACGTGATCTTTAAGAATTAAAGAAGGAAATAGAGAGGAATTGTTATTATTATATAAAATGAAAATGAAAGAGAAAGAGAGAGTATGTAAATAAAAAAACAAAAGAGAAATTATAAAAAATTAATTTGGATTCCAGTAATCAAATTTTTAACAGTAAAATATGAATTTTACTGTAAAAAGAAAATGAATGATTATTATTTATACAAAATAATTTAATATTGACGATTACTTCGTGTAAAATAAATTTTAATAAGAACAGTTAAGTTATTATAATATTTCTTGTCTTTTACTTATTATTTTCAATGTTTAAATAATGTGTGAACAGTAATTAAAAAAAAAAAAGAAACAAATTATACGAATCAGTATTATTTGTTACTCCTACGAGTAAATATCGGAATTTTTTCCTCTCCTACGGGTAAACTTAAATAATTTATATTTTCGATTGTCTTATAATTATTTAAACGATAGTACATTTGTTTAAACATTACGTAGCTTTTAATTAATATTGATTGTAAAATAATTTTCAGTGGATATTTTTTTAATATACGTAAATTTAAAAAATCTGAAGTTCTTCTTTACTTCTTCAAGTTTGTTTTTTTACTTTCGGAAAAAAGTATAACTGGCATGTGTGTGTTCTTTTGTTTGTTTTTATTAGACGATATTAAATAATCTCATAATTTATAAAGTTCCAATCTTCGGTTAATTCTTTTTCTTCTTCTTCATCTCTGCTTTCTATTTTTATTGTTTCTCGATCCTCCATTATCTTTTGAAAGAAAAATATTGAAAAAAATGTTATATATTATTGCAAGTTTATTTAAAGTACTACAGATCATATTTAATAATTATTCACTAACCATCATCTTGTATTTTTCTCTTTCGATCATTAATTCCATTTCGAATTCTTTTTGCTTGTTTCTACGTTCCTCGCAAATCTATGAAATCAAATCAATTACATTTTTTATATTTCACATATGAACAAATAATAGAAAAATAATTGTAACATATAACATAATAGGAAATATATTTGGTCGTGTTGTTTAAAATGAGACACTTGGTATAATTAAAAAAATAATTAAGGTATAAATTGAAATCATTAATTTTACAATATAAACAAACCTTTAAATGAAGCAACCAATACCCAAGATACTCAATCGGATCGTAAGGTTTTTTCATAGCAATTTCTGGAAGAGCACGTATTAAAGCATCGCTAAAAAAATATTTTAAATAAAAACCTTCGGGTGAAAAATAATAATCGGACATTGTAGACTTCGAGGAGACACAAATATCATCGGATTCCATGGAATTCGTTGAATCGTTAAAATCCTTTTGCCAAAATAATTTCCAATGTTCTATTTCGTTTTCGTAGAAACCCAAGGCTTTCAAAAGTCTGAAACACAAATTTTTACTTCAAATTCATTTACACGATGTTAAGAGTAAAATGTTTCAAAAAGAAAAACAAAAGAATTTGTTTGTTTACACATACCAACCTGATATATTCGTCGGTAAATCCATTAGTTAATAAAGATTTGATTAGGCCATCACTTAGTCCCCTTTCACGTAAATGTTCTCCTAACGATTTTTCTTTTATCTTTTTTTTATTACCGCTCTCCAGAATATTATTTTGTTCTTTATTTTTTCTCGCATCTTCATTTTTATTAGCATCTCTCGTTGCTCGATGAAGATCCTCCAAAATTTGTTCACCTTCATTACTGATTTCCACGATTTTATCTTTTTTTATCTCGTCGAGATCAACTTGGCTCAGTTTAATATTATTTTTTAAAATCCTCTCTGTTCTCTATCGAGAAATCTTAAAGTAAGAGATTTGATCTAATCGAAATGTGAAAGTTAAATCTGTGGAAATATACCGACGAAAGTATATTACGTAGATTTTTAGGAATTTCATTCATACCTAACAGTAAACTGTAGTAATAACGTAAAACTTTGAATCGTTATTTAAATACGAATATTTACAATCATGAAGAAAAAATAAAAATAATCATGCAATAAAAACGTGTTAACTTTTTAATCGTTTTATTCGAACGGTTATCTTCATTTTATTTATTTTCTTTACATACTTACATCTTTGTCATCAGATTGTAAAAGAGAAATAGATGAAAATAAAAGTTTTCGAAGTTCTCTTTTGTTATAGGCTCCCGAAACTTCAACGTGATGTCCTTTCTTTTGCAAAATGACTCTTTCACGATGAATTTTGTCTTGATAATTTGTATTTTTATCCATCGTCATTCAACCTAATAAAAATCATCACAAAAATTTCTTTTCCACACCTAATTTCATTCGAAACGTAATCGATAAGATTAATCGATTTTAATTTCGATTTAAACATGTCAGAATTACTTTACCGACTGATACGTTTTTCATTTTAATCACATAAATTTCTAAATTTATTCAACGTTTATTTGTAAATGAAATAAATCAATAAAATCGTCGCGTGTCAAATTTGATTAATATTTGATGAATAATACAAGGAGCAGAAATATTTATGTAAAATAAAATGTTCTTTCTTATGTACGATAGTTGTTTTATTCTTTTCTTATTATCCCTTCTCTCTCATTCTCATTCTCTTTTTTTACAATTAGGAAAAAAAACAAGAGGGGAATTTATATATATATATATAAAATATGCGCATTTAATATTTTCTCACAATCAATGAGAAAAAATTAGAATGTGCATAAATGAATGAAAAGCTGTACGTATGTACGTGTTTATTAACGATTGTCTAACGTTATCTGATTAATTATGAATCATAGTCAAGGATTGAAGTTACGTGAATAATAATCTTTCATAAATCAGTTTAAATTGCGATTTCAAATTGTTCACAGTATAAAAGAAAGAAAAACTTCGGTGCAATGAACGACATCAATTGTTAGTGCGTTTTTTCGTAAAAAAAAAAAAACAAAAAACAACAAAAATGCATTTAAACTGTTGTTAAAGTTCCTTTATTTACTTGTGTTATCTTAATAACGGGTGGATTATTTATCTAATCTACAGGAATACGAGAAAAGAGTGAAACTTTGTCAGTCCCATTCGCGACGTAATCCTTGACGGAACTTTCCTTCTTTTGCACGCTAATTGGTTTATTAGGAAAAAAAATTTTTTAATTTATTTACTTAGAGATTCAAAAATACCTCCAATTGGCTTCTTAAACATATGTATTATTATTATTATTATTATTATTATTAACATAAATATATAATTTTGTAAAACACTATACACACACATAAATACGCAAATTTATTATTTACTTAATTAGATTTGTTTATAAAAATAACACATATAACATTAATAAAATTAAATTTGTTTTTTTATACACAATAAGATATTTATTTTTTTTTTTATAGAGATCACAAATACCGCACGTAAACTTCAATAAAACTTCACACATAATTCACAATCTTGAATATACAAAAGTGGAAGGAGGTACTTCGATATTCATGGGGAAAAAGGTATACAGCAAGTATTTCTTATTACTTAATCTTAGTTAGCAAAGATGAGATAGGTATATGCATATAAATATTCATGATATTGTTATACGATATTACTTTTACATAAAATATGTATTATATTTCTGCTTGGCTAACGAAAACGTCATTCGATACGATTCTTGATCAACGAGCTCCATTGGTTTTCATTGTTCACGATTAATACTCGTGATCCGAAGCTGACGTATATTGAATATATAGTGTGTTAGATAGTTAGCTAACACTTATTATGTGACATGTGGATGAAATAGTTATACAAGGTGAGTCGAAAGTTTCTAGATTAAAAAAACAAAAAAAAACAAAAGAAAATAACAAATTAGCCTAAAGTATTTCAAACAAGTATAATTGACGTTTAAAATTATCCCGAAACTTTGGATTCACCCTGTATAAATTTCATGATTTATTATCATAAATTTATAGTTAATTAATAATATATATATATATATATATATATTAATGAGACATATATTATATATTATATTTAGACGTGTAACATTAAAAATGGAATCACCAACGAGGCTTTTAGTTTGGATGATATTACAGATCATAATTCGATTTCTGAAAACACCGTAAGTGATCTCTCTCTCTCCCTGTTTCATTGTTTAATATTTCAAAAATATAAGCTGCATTCCTTTTTTTTATAAGGTTTTGTTTAATTAGGTGGAAAGAGCACAATGGGGAAACGATAAAGAATTTTTGATGTCCTGCATTGCCATGTCTGTTGGATTAGGAAATATTTGGAGATTTCCGTTCACTGCTTACGAGAATGGTGGTGGTGCATTTCTTATACCTTACATCATAATTCTCATCGTTGTTGGGAAACCATTTTATTTGTTAGAAATGACTTTGGGCCAATTTTCTAGTAAATCTGCTATCAAAATCTGGGAAATATCACCTGCCTTCAAAGGTTATACACAATTTCATATTATTTTATTGGCAAATTTTCTCTCTCTCTCTCTCTTTCTCTCAATTTGTTTACATTAATGTGATTCTAATTATTCTTTCTATCACAGGTATTGGTATTGCCCAATTTCTTACACTGTTGGCATTAACATCTTACTATTGTTCCTTAATGGCATTGACTTTATTTTATTTGGTCGCAAGTTTTCAATCTGAATTACCATGGGGTAAATGTAAAAAGGAATGGGGTAAATACTGTGTGAATTCTTTGAAAGTACAAGATGATGAAATTCTTTTAAATGGTACCAGCCTTTCCAACGTAACTTATCTCAGTTCAGCTGAATTATATTTTTAGTTAGTATTAATATAAATAATATTTCTATAAATAAATCTATTTTTATAAATCTCTATGATCTGTAAAGTTATCTATGCCTAGCAAGGAAGTGCTACGCGAAAAGAAGAACATCAACGACGGAATTGGATTACCTGATTGGCGTTTGACAATTTGCCTGTTCATTAGCTGGCTTTGTATATTTATTATTGTCGTTCGTGGTATCAGAAGTTCTGGCAAGGCTGCTTACTTCACAGCCATATTTCCTTACATTGTAATGTTTATATTATTGATCAGAGCTGTTACATTGGATGGTTCAGCCAATGGTATACTTTATTTCGTTACTCCTAATTGGGACAAATTGTTAACGTCCAGTATCTGGTACAATGCAGTTGCACAATGTTTTTTTTCATTGACTGTCTGTTTCGGTGCTGTTGTTATGTTCGCGTCTCACAATAAAATTGATCATGATATTTATAGGTCAGTATCGTTTAATATGGGTATATATATATATATATATTTTTTATTGATAAGACTAATCCACATTGATCTTTTGAGAATTAGTAATTTTGATTTACTGATGCACGATTAAATTCTTTTTTTTTTTTTCTTTTCATTAAAATCTTTACACATCATTTTGCAAAAAAATGATTATTTAAATTTATCATTTTAATAATGATAATTGATAATTATTTCAAACACAAATATAACATTAATGAATTTAATTTTGGCAATATTATTTTGAAATTTAATTATCATTATAATTTATTGTTTCTAGGGATGCAATGATTGTGACAACTCTGGACACCTTGACCAGTTTCTTAGCAGGCTGTACTATATTTGGTATATTGGGTAATCTTAGCCACGAATTAGGAGCTAAAGATATTAGCTCTGTGGTACGTGGTGGAACAGGATTGGCATTTATTTCTTATCCAGAAACAATCGTCAAGTTTGATTTCTTACCACAATTTTTCGCCATTGTATTTTTCGTAATGATTTTTGTTCTTGGAATTGGTAGCGAAGTTGGACTTACTTCTAGTATAATATCGATCATCAATGACCAATTTCCAAACTGGAAACATTGGCATGTTGCAGCTGGGACATGTTTCTTTGAATTTCTTATCGGATTATTATACGTCACTCCGGTATAATAATATAAAAAAAAAAAAAGAAATATTGGTAGTTAAATTTTTAATTAAAAAACAAATATGTATATTTATGGGGTTATTTTTTTTTCTTCCTACAGGGTGGACAATTCATGGTAACGTTCATAGATTATTATGCAACTTCGTTTCTTGCATTGATACCAGCCATTTTTGAAATGATCGTGGTTTCATGGTGTTACGGTGTGAATTTGTTTTTTTTTTTCTTTTAAATAAATTATTAAATAAAGTTATATTTACATACGCGTTTGAGTGATTAAAAGAATTCTTTTTTTTTTGTCTTTTTTTATAGGAATTAATAATTTTCTCGACGACATTGAATTTATGTTAAATCGACGATTGTCGAGTTTTTGGAAATTCTGTTGGAGTATTTTAACTCCTGGAATAATCACTGTGATATTTATTTATAATATGATTAATTTGGAATTGTTAACTTACAATGGTCTTTTTTATCCTGACGTAGCTTATGGTAAATATTTATTATACATACTTTGGTTTTTTTTTTTTATTTTTAATATTATATAATGACTCTGTGTTACTTTTTTTCTTTTTAGTTATCGGTTGGATTCTTTTTACCATTGCTGTATTGCAAATACCTATATGGATATTGGTCGCTATATTTAAAAATAGACATTTACCTTTTCCAGAGGTAAAAAATAATATAAAGTATATTTGTTTTATTATTTTATGAAATATATATATTATATATTATATCATATACTTTGTATAATTAATTTTTTAAGATAATTTTTCAAACATTTCGACATTCAAAACATTGGAGTCCATTGAACGACGAGACGAAAATAAAATGGTTGGAATTTAAAGAACATCGAAGAAAAATGAAAGAAGAGGAAATAGAAAATGAACATTCGAACATATTTTATAGATTATTCAAATCTGTTACTTGTCGGTAGAATTGAAAAATGAAAAAAAAAAAGAAATATTTTTCTTATGCTTTTTTTTTCTCTGTTAATTATTATACCATGAAACTTAATGTTTCTTAAATGAAAATGATAATAATTTTTGTTTGTTTTAATTCAATGTTATAAATAATAATAAAAAGAAAAAAAGAAACNTGAAAAATGAAAAAAAAAAAGAAATATTTTTCTTATGCTTTTTTTTTCTCTGTTAATTATTATACCATGAAACTTAATGTTTCTTAAATGAAAATAAAAAGAAAAAAAGAAACATTAATTTATAATTGATTTACGTATTTTGCAATTAAAAAGATAGTGATTTAAATGAAATATTATTATTTAACTTGTAATTTATATTTCTTTCTAATAATTCTAACAATATAAAATAAAATAAATAATTAATAAAATATATCACAAATTTTTTGATATTATTCATTAATAATTAAATAACTTTGTACAAAATCAATGAAATCAAATTAGATATAAATTGAAATATACAAAAATTGGCATTATTATAAATAAAATGAATAAAAATATCTAGATTTCATCGTTTCAAAGATAAAACTGATATTATTATTTTTTTTTTTTTCTTTTTTTTTGTGTTAAGTATCACAGTGTAAAATTCAATGAAAAAAGGAAAAAAGTGTGTGTGAATAACCTGCTGTTGGGATCACCTAATCTCACTTATACATATAGGTGTATACGTAGATACATTAATCTCAATCAAAAAGTATACTTTAAAGTGTTCACAATCAAGTACATAGCCTTTTGCAAGTTTTATCGAGCGGAAGAAAGTGACATCGATTTGAGATATCGATTAGTTCATACACACGTATAATAGTTATCTATCTCTTATATACTTAATGATCTCCGTGACTAAAGAATCAATTTAATATTTTTTTTTCTTCGTTTTTTCCTGATAGACATTTATTATCCTTATCGTGGTTATAGTTGTGGGGGTATTTCGTAGATTATATAAAAGAGTTTCGAAATCGTTACTTCGTCAAAAATTTATTCTCGAGAGTTTCTTATTCGAGTATCTCTACATTGTATGAATGTTCGTTTAAATATTCGATAAATCAGTTACCTCTTGTTTCCAAGTTTTTTTTATTTCATTTGTGTAATGTCAAAAGAAATGGTAAGTCGTGATAGTTACTAGATGATAGTTGTGATAATAAATGTGTGTGTGTGTTCGTAAGGACAAATTGTTTTTTTCTTGATAAATAAAATTAAAACAAAAAAAACAAGAAAAAAAAAGGATAAGTGTTATTCGTTGTAATCTGTAATACGTTGTAAGATATCGATGAAATCGATGCGATTATGTTTAATCTTTCATTTTTAAATGCATTAAAAAGTACAGTACTTTGAAATGCATATAAGTACAGTATACTTAAATGTTCTTAATAAAATTTTTCGAAAGATAAATTTTACGATCTTCGATAAATAGTGTTAAACGATGGTTTTAATTGCCTCAAATGACGTTCTTGATAACTAGTAAATGTGTTACACGTGCAATAAGTGTGTAAGGTTGACATACTAAGACAATACAATTAGAAAAGAACGGAAAGAATAGGTACTATATATTTTTTAATAATTTTATATGAGTTATTAAACATTTCGATCGTTTTGATTATTACGATTATTAAGTTACATATGATTTTATTGCAACGTATATAATTCAATGTTTATCATTTAAAAAATAAATTATAAATAATTCTTGTCTTTTTATTCTCTCTCTCTCTCTTTTATGAGTTTCGAATTATTTCTCTACGAACATTTTCTCACACTTATTCAATATTACCAAAGTGGTTAGTGTCTTTTTACTGCTTCTCTGGAATCAACTGCAAACGGTTCTTGTGTATTGTTTCTTCGGACGCGTCACTCATTCACGTTATTATTGTCTTCACAAATTGTGTAACTTTAGTGAAAAAAAAATGAATAATAATCGTATTACAATGTTTTACACACAAAAAAATATTTTCATTAGTTTAAAAATTAAATGATAAATAATTGTGTGTTGTAGCATTTTAAAAAATATATCAAATTAAAACCTAAACAATAATTGTATCGGGATGTTTGAATAAGCGTGTGTCAATTATTTCGAAATAAATTATAATGAATTACATTGTAATAGGATATCATACATTATAATCATGTTGCAGAAAAATGGAAGTCAAACGAGTTATGATAACCCAGCGTTTGAAATTACCAATGAAAGAAATATTGAATTATCTAATAATGATCACAACGAATCACGTGTTTCCGAGTTAAAGGATTTAGAAAAAGCGGAGGAAAAGGAAAGTCAAGGATCTTGGAATAATAGTATAGAATTTTTAATGTCTTGCATTGCCATGTCTATCGGTTTTGGTAATATTTGGAGATTCCCATTTACCGCTTATAAAAATGGTGGTGGCGCATTTTTAATACCATACGTAATTTTGTTATTTCTCGTTGGGAAACCATTTTATTTTTTGGAAATGATAATGGGACAATTTTCTGGACGTTCGTCGATACGCGTTTGGAATGTTTCACCTGCTTTTGTTGGTATTTATAATTATACGAATAATTTTTCATTCATATATATATATATAATATGAAAATAATAATTCATTTAAACCGTAACAATAATAAATACAAATGATTAATACTATATTTGATATATTTCAGGTGTCGGCTGGGCTCAATTCTCTTCGACGATCATTTTAGCAACTTATTATAGTTCGTTGATGGCCTTAACTCTTTTTTATTTGATCTCATCTTTTTCCGCGGAGTTACCTTGGTCAAAGTGTCTCGAAGAATGGAAAGACTTTTGTATCGATTCGTCTAGCAAAAAAGAAAATAGAATGATGATCAATGATACTACATTTTTGAAAAGAAATGATACATATTATAAACTCGATCGTAGTATGAGTAATTCAGTTTATCGAAGCTCCGCTGAATTATACTTTTTGTGAGTATTTTTTCAATTAAATAGCATACCTTGAACAATTATTTCAACACGACAGTCGAAACAAATGTTCCGTTACAAACAAACAAATTATTTTTTATTTTAGAAAATCAGTATTACACGAGAAAGATAATATCGACGATGGAATTGGATTACCGGATTGGAAATTAACGCTTTGCCTGTTTGGATGTTGGTTCTTCGTTTGCGTAATCCTTTTCCAAGGTGTTAAAAGTACAGGAAGGGCATCATATTTTCTAGCAATCTTTCCATATATAGTTTTAATAGCATTGTTGATACGTTCAGTAACATTGGATGGTGCTGCCGATGGTATACTTTTTTTTGTTGAACCACAATGGGAAATGTTGTTGAAACCAGAAGTTTGGTATGCCGCAGTGACCCAATGTTTTTTCTCTCTATCTGTTTGCTTTGGTGCAGTTGTCACGTATTCCGCTCAAAATGGGTTCAAACATAACATTTACAGGTTCGTCGTAAATTCGTATTACTTTTTTTTCTTGCTTGTTTTTATTGATTTGCATTAATTTTGATTAAAAAAAAATTAGAATTTTACTGAACAATAATTATTGACTAGCTCGACTAAAATTTATCGACAAAATTATTTTAGAAATGAATTACTGATTTAATCCAAAGTAATATAATAATTTGTTATTATAGAAATTAATTAAATCATTTTCGTACCAATTGTTTCTTATTTTTTGTTGTTGTAAGAACAGAGATGCAATGATCATTACAACATTGGACACGTTTACCAGCATGATCGCAGGCTGTGCAATATTTGGAATCCTCGGTAACCTTGCTTACGAGATGGATATTAAGGATGTTGGTTCAGTAGTAAAAGATGGCACTGGTCTGGCATTCATTTCCTATCCTGATGCAATCGCTAAATTCGAAGTTTTACCTCAGGTAAATTTTTTAAGTAACGTGTCAAACTAAAAGATCTAATTTATCTAATTTTTCTGCTTTCTAAAAGTAGAGATAAAAAAAAAAACCATCCAATATTCGATATCATCGTTGCAGTTATTTTCCGTTCTATTCTTCGTGATGATGTTTGTTCTTGGAATTGGTAGTTGCGTTGGTATGACATCGAGTCTTTTTGTTATCCTGTATGAACAATTTCCTAAATTGAAACCTTGGCAAATAGTTGTACCATTGTGTTGTCTTGGCTTTTTAATTGGAATTGTATACGTCACACCGGTAAGAGTAATTTATTTTCTTAATCATCTCTTATCTATCATAGATTAATATATTTTTTTGTTAATAATTTTATTTATTTATTTAGGGTGGACAATGGGTTCTTGTTTTAGCAGATTATTACGGTACTTCTTTCGTTGTGTTCATTTTAGCTTCTTTTGAAATGATTGGTATCATTCATGTATATGGTAAGTTTAAGAATTTAATTCTTTTTATTTAATTAACAAATTAATATATTATACATTAACAAAAATAAAAGATCAACGAATTATCGTTTTAAAAAAAATACAGGATTCGAAAACTTCATCGATGATATAGAATTTATGTTGGATATGAAAGCAACTATGTTTTGGAGAGTTTGTTGGTTCGTAATAACACCCGTTATACTGATCGTTATTTTCTTATACACTGTCGTAAATATGTCACCTTTGGTTTACGCTGGCAAAACATTTCCAATTGGTGCTCATGCTGCTGGTGTAATAATACTTTGTATGGGTATATTACAAATACCAGTTTGGATGCTGTTGGCTATACTCAAAAATAGACACTTACCATTAAAAGAAGTATGCTATTATTAATCTATTTTTATGAACAAAATCTCGATTGGTAATCAAATTTCTTGAGAAATGAGATAAATAATACAAATTAAATGAAATTTAATTAAGATATGATAAGATTAATTTGATTATCTATCAACGATTTTTAATTCACAAGTCATAAACATATTTATATATATATGTATCATCTTATCATCATAATCTTAACTGTTACGTAATACCAAAAATGTTTAATTAAGTATAATTTAATGAAAAAAATGAAGATACTTTTAAGTATGAAAATAAATTACATTTATTTTGTAGTTTACTATTATATATATTATTATAATAGATAATTATGCTAATTTTGTTTACAAAGTAATATTATTACATAATAGAATTATTTTTATTTAAACGTAAAATCGATTCAACGTATAAATTAAAAATTTAATTAAACTATATTGTTATTTTTTCTTTGTACAGATGATTAGAAAAGCTTTTCAACCAACGTCTCAATGGGGACCGAAAGAAATGAAATATCGAAAGGAATGGTTAATATTCAAAGAAGATAAAATGAATATTAGAAATATGAGACAACGGTCAAGATGGTCGCAAACGATTCGAATTGTTTTTGGTTTGCAACCAAAATAGACAATATTTAGAAAGAAAAAAGAAAAAGACAAGAAATTAATCCACGACATTCTTTCAAATAAATTAAAAATACGGAGACTGAAATGTGCTTTAAATTCGAAGCTCGTGATCGACGAAGAACTATATTTTGTTCATCGATAAAATACTTTAACAAAAAAAAGTAAACACTTAAACAATTATAAATAATTTCGTATTTAACTCGAGGACGATAATAATTTATATATTAATATACTTCATCTATTTTTCAAAATTATTTAAAATAAGTAAGTCGACAATTAATTTGTAACAACAAATTACAACGATTTTAATTGGATTAAAATAATAAACAATTTAAATCACTTTCCTAATGAACGATAACAGGAAACAAGATTGTTCTGTGACAAATACTACAATTTATATCTTTGTTCTAAGTAAACCTAACTTATTACTTATAAATAACACATGTTTTTACTTTATTGCCTCCCGAACAATAATTGAATTAATTTTGTACGTTCATTGATAGAATTATTTTGTATTTTTTTGGATTCTTTAAAATCTTTCCATTTTTTAAAACATTTCTTATCTTTTGGACCCCAATCTTCCTTCGCTATAAATGCCTATATAAAATTATTATAATTATACGAGCTGGAAATATACAATACAAATTACAAAAAAAAAAAAGAAATACTTACGATAGACAATGGTGCATTTTTATTGTTTAAAATAGAAATAATTATCCATATGGGAAGTTGTGCCGCACCGATAATCAAAAGTATCCAACCAGCAGCTAAAAATTAAAAAATAAGAAAAATTATAAATATTCTATAAATAATAATATATAATTTAATAATATTATAAATAATATTAAAATAAAAAAAAAATATAAAACTTACCGTATGCGGAATCAGGATAATGCTCGTCGTTATAAGTCAATGGTGCATAACTGCATAGAAAATAAATTAGAATGACGAACAATGATACTGGGGTCAAAACACCCCAACAAAATCTCCAATAGAACGACGGCCTTGTACCGGACATAAATTCAACGTCATCGAGAAAATTATCTATGCCTATGAAAAATTGTGTTTTTACATGAGGTAAAAGGAGAACAAGAAAATAACAAAAATAATATGTATTAACTTATATCTGTTACTATACTATTTAATCATATACCATATATCCACGATATCGCAATTACTTCGAATGACGCAAGTATTACTAAAATGAATGTTCCGCAAAAATAATCAACCAAGTTGAGAATATATTGTCCACCCTGTAAAGAAAAATAAGAAAAAACACAGAAATTTAATATTACAGATACAAAGGGTTGACCAAAAATAATTCCTATAAGTGTTCCTAACAATTATATATTTCTATAAATTTTTTCTCGTAGTCTTATATAAATTGAAAAAAAAAAAAAATAATCTAAAAAGTCTTAAAGAAAAAAATAATTGCTTTATTTATATATAGGGAAAAAATTGATCCCTGCTTAAGATCGTGTATTAAACAAAATATATTGTTTTTAACATGTAAATACATAACAACAAACAGACACTTACTGGAGTACAATAAACAATGCCGATAAGGAAACCAATGAAACAAAAACAAGCAGATATCTTCCATTGACTGATACGAGGAAATTGATCCTTAATGATACTGATGATAACACCACTGAATGCAACGGTAGTGCCTATTCCTAATACAAAAAGCATTAGAAAAAAGAAGACTGAGAAAAGTTGTTGAGCGGCCGTGAACTTTGCTAATGCTTCAGGATATGAAATAAATGCTAGACCGGTTCCAGCTCTTACAACACTACTGATATCATCGGTACCAATTTCGTAAGCTAAATTTCCTAGTATACCAAATATTGTAGCACCAGCAATTAAACTGGTGCAAAGGTCCATTGTTGTTACTATCAAACAATCTCTGTAAATCAAATAGATAATAGATATATTACACATCCTGTATTTAATCATCAATGTTATCGTGCATTGAATGATCTACACGATAAATCAATTTTGATGACGTAATTAAAAACAAGTATTACAGTAACTATTATACTACATTTTTTATTCTATAGTAAATTCGAACGATAGAGTAAAGATATATTCTTACATATACATATTTTTATTGATAGATTTATATAGATATAATATTTATATCTATATTATCTGTTAATAAAATCTCTTACCAATCTCAAATACCTATATAATCATATGTATATGTTATGGTCAATGTTCAGAATTCGGATTTTGTATAGATTCCCCGGGGCATTCTATAAAATGTCTACTAACATTAGTCAATGTATGTTTTGAGGATGTTTCGAGTTAACTATTAATTAATTATTCTTTTAAACCTGACGCAATCCTTAAATAACCCTTACAAAAAAGCTGAGGGAGATATTTGATATATTTGTTTGATTTATATATCAGAATATTTATTTATTTTTCATAGTATTTCATTCGATGCACGTTAGTTTATGTAACGTTAGGAAGATACAGATCGCAAATAGTTTCAGGTATGAGTCAAAAATGATTATAGTAATTTAACCTACCTTGATACGTTATGATCGAAGTTATTATAAGATGAATACATGGTTACGGCACCGAAACAAACGCCAAGGGAAAAAAATGATTGCGTAACAGCCGCATACCAGACCGATGGATCAAAGATTTTATTCCATGTTGGTTTGAATAAAAATATTATCCCATTGATGGCACCGTTTAAGGTTACGCCTCTTATTAATAGACAAATCATAATAATATATGGGAATAAAGCTAAAAAGTAAGAGAACTTTCCAGTACTTTTAACACCTTTCGAAATCACACCATAAACGAATGCCCAACTTGCTAACAAAGATAGTACTAATTTCCAAGATGGCAACCCTAATCCATTGTCGATGTTGGTTTCATTAAGAACTACTTTCCTGAATAAATAAATAAAATATATTGTTAATATTCGTGCATTAATTTTGTTTTTCTTTTGGTATTATACATATCTATATTACATATGTTTTATTATAAATGAAATTAAATATAAGAGATAACCTAAAATATAATTCAGCCGAGCTGCTTTTATTGCCGTTGTTGGTATGATTCGACGTCAAGGTACTATTGAAACAAATATCACCCCAATCATCCCAACAATATGACCATGGAAGTACAGATTGAAAACTTGCTATCATGTAATACACTATCAATGCCATAAGAGCTGAATAATAAGTGACTACTGCAAATACTGCCATTGTAACACCATAACCGATACCTACGACATATATAATATATAATAATACATTTTATAAAATAAATAAATCACAAATCCAATGAATTATTCGATTAGTTTAAAAACAAAAATTTTGTATTGTTGACTCAAGAGAAACGGTACAAAGATAATATTGAATAGGTTTGAGAAAGTGTTCGTAAAAAAAGGGAGAGTAAAAAAGAAAAAGAATATTATTTGATTTAATAAAAATCTTTCATGACCTTTGAATGCCGGTGATATTGACCATATATCGATACAAGAACGGCTACTAAATTGTCCCAAAATCATTTCCATGTAATATATGGGCTTTCCTATTATAAATAAAACTATTATATAAGGTATCAGGAAAGCCCCGCCACCATTTTCGTATGCCGTATATGGAAACCTCCAAACATTACCAAGGCCAACGGAAAAAGCTACGCATGACATTAAAAATTCTAATTCACTTCCCCATTTAGCTCTTTCTTTTTCAGTTTGATCTGACACCAATACGGTCGTTGAATTCTACGACAATAAATCAAACTTACAAAATATATTAAATAAAAGGTTTAAATAAATTTTAATTAGTTAATTGTTTCTTTTTTTTAACTTACCCCAATATTGAGATTATTTCTACTGTCTGATATAACGGATAAAGTGTATATACCGGGTGTCCCTTCGTTTTCGATGTCACCATCCTATAAGAAATTAATTATCTTATTTATTTATTTAATTTCTGTCATTTTCACGAATGTAAAAATGTAAAAAAATCATTCATTAAGAATTCTTATCAGCTTTTTGAACAAGAATTATCCAGTCAAATCCTCTTAATGCTAATTTCATTGTTAAAATTACGCAAGTGTAGACTATTACATAATTAACTGTATTTTTTATTCTCTTTGTTTCTAAATGATTACATTGTTTATTTTCAATAAAAAGTATAAGCATGAATAAGAACAATTATTAGTAGAATTTATGATCGTACGGCCTTAAAACAATCTCATTCGTGGAATTTATCATTATTAAATTTTCTTTAGTACGAATAATGTTTTGAGATAATACAAGCACCTTTTCGAAGACTACGCGGATTAACAATTGTATCATGTTAGTCATACTAATATTAGCGTCTTATAAAAATACATGACTCTTATTTTTAAGTTTTTAAAGAACATAAAGAAATAAAATTACATTAGTAAAATACTTTTAAAAATAAAAATAAAAAATATATAAATACATATATTGTCAAATAACATAAAGTATAAAATAAAAACAGAATAAATACTTTTCATATCAGAAAAAAAATTCAATAAATGCAAAATAAAAAAAGACAATTTTCTATCAAATATATTTGTCTCTCATTTCAATGCTCGTAATCGAAATAAATTTTATTGAACGAATAATTTGCTCGGAGGGGGGGGGCAACTTACAATTTACTTAAAGTATGAAATGAACAAATTAATCAGATTTATTTTATTAATACTTTCTCTAATTTTAACAATAAGAGTGAAAGTGTCAAACATAATTAATTATCTGGCACATAGTTCGACGAACCTTCGATTTGGAATGGTGCATATTTTTTCTTGGCATACGAATCAGCACGCGATTTTAAAAACGCGGACACTCACTCACACACATATAATGCACTAACGCTTACACGTTATATTTGACTTATAAAATATAAACACGTCTTAACAAGTTGGCAGAACTTGAGAGACTGCATAATAAATCTCTTTCACTTCGTATATTCGTTTACATTTAACAAGTACTACATTCACTGTCTGCATTTATCAATATATATTGTTAGATTCATACTAATGATGATTACACCACATATATATATACATATATATATATATATGTATATACACACCTGGATGATATTCGATTCTTTTCACATTGAACTAAAAATTCAATTTATTTAATTACGATTTTTCGTAATAATAAATTAAACGATTTAAAATTTTATAATGGAAAAAAATAATATTTTTCATTGTACATATTTTTTATTTTAAATAAATAATCTTTATCTCTCCAACACAAAAATATTGGCTAACTGTTAAGAGAGAGCCTGATTTACAAATTTTTATTATATTTCAAATGACTTCGATAAATAATTCCGATTTTTTTCTAATTATATACAATTTGGAAAATAGAAATAACTATTTTATGTTAAATAATTAATTATTAATCAAAATAATTATTATATAAATTATACTACTCGACCTGTTTCTTAATTTTTTTATTATTGATTTATATATTTATGTTTTTTATATATATAAACCACGTAACACGATCAAACGATCGTATCAAATGATTCATACTTCGAAAGTCGAGTCTAATGTACGCATAGAATTCAATAATCCTGATTACGTTCTATTTCAATACGATCTAATAAGATAAACTCTTTATGTATAAACGATAGGAGATGAGGGAACGATGATTATATGAAAAATAATAAAAAATAATTCTTATCGGAATTAATTTTATGCTTTGTAAATTCCGTCGTAAAGATAAGTAAAAATTGTATATTTCTTAATGACTTCAACCTCAATGAAATTATTTTATGCTTGAGATAATACAAACGTATTGTTCCTAATGATTAACATTTGCTGAATAAATGATAAAAATAATGCACAAATGATAATAACAATAACTCCAAACCAAGAAGAGATAAAATAAAGAAAAAAATATGTTCGAAAGTTTCGGAGAGAATATTTGGAAAAATTTATTTACAATATAATATTAGAACAAATATATATAATGAAATAATTATAAATAAGAAAAAATAAATTTTCATTTAATTTACGAACACATCGTAAGAAAATAATGTCTCTTAAATAATTATTACAAATAGTAAAATTTATTGATTTAAATGTTAGAACTAAATGATGGTGGTTATGTAATAACCATTCAAAATAAATCGCATGTACAATCATTTTCATGTATATTCTGACAATTTAACTGGATAATCATCTTTCTCGTTATTTACATTGCCAATTATGTTCATTTCTCAACCGTAAAAATTTATTCTAGATGCATACCTACATATGTACAAACTGATTTAAACTCAATATGAGTAAAGTTAGTATAACGAATAATTTTAATATTCACATACAAACGTATATTAAAATCTAAATCATAAATATGTACACTTTATTTAAAGTAAATTTCGATTAGAGATCTTGGAGGTTGACGTTTTTTTTCGATAATGAAATCCTGCCATTTTTTTCTCGTAGCAGGATCGTTTGGTCCCCAATTTTTTTCCGAAGGTCTTAATGATGTTTTCAATGTCTAAAAGTAATGTTAGAAATAATATTCGAAAATGTGTTACAAACATTTTTCATTAATAATATTTATCTCAGGCTTACTTCGATAATTGACGTTGACATATTTTTAGTAAATATGTAAATGAACCATACTACCATTAAACCGATACCAATGAAAATAAGGAACCATCCAATACCTAAAATAATGTTATTTTAATAAGATCATTAAGACCTATCGATATATTTTTACCCAATAATTCTATTTATACAAACCATAAGCATAATCTGGAAAAAGCATGCCATCGTACGTCGGAGGCTGATAAGAAACAATTGTATAAATTACTACAACGATCATTAATAGCGGAGTGATGATTGACCAACAAAACCGCCAGTAAAAATTTGGCCTTGTTCCTATCATAAATTCAATATCATTTAAAAAATTAGATAAACCATAGATCCAAAATATCGTAATCATTTCAAGAACACCGATGATAATAGCAACAAATGTTCCCCCATAGTAATCGACCAAAGTTAACAACCATTGGCCACCCTAAATATAAATTTCAATCATTATTTTATTATTTAATTATATTTATTTGTAAAAAATAGAAAAGAAAAAAGATATTGTTTATAGATTGAAAATATTAAATTTACGTACTGGAGTGATGTATATAAGACCAATAAGAAAACCAACGATACTGATAAGTAAAACCACGATCCATTGGCTTACTTTTGGGAAATGATCGCAGAATATACTAACAATGGCACCGTTAAGAGCTACAGCACTTCCAGTGCCAAGGACAAACATCATGATGAAGAAAAAGACTGAGAAAAGTTGCGGAACCACATCGAATCTAGCCAAAGCTTCTGGATATGAGATAAATGCCAGACCAGTCCCACCTCTAACCACTTTGGATATGTCATTAACACCCATTTCGTGAGCTAAATTCCCAAGGATTCCAAATATTGTACAACCAGCCATCAGGCTGGTAAATGTGTCCAATGTTGTTACTATCATCACGTCCCTTTTAGGATTAAAATTCAGGTATATGTTGGATGTCATTATTGGAATATCTTTGAGATAATGAAAATTATGTTGAGATATTTATTTACCTGCTAACGCCATGGCCAAAATTATTATACGACGAATAAGTCAAAATTGGTCCAAAGCAAACAGACAATGAAAAGAAACACTGAGTTATAGCTGAATACCAAACGTTTGGGTTCCATAACATATCCCATTTGGGTGTTACGAAAAATAATATTCCATTGAGTGCACCTTCCAGAGTTACTGACCTTACCAATAATATTATCATCATAATGTAAGGGAATATTGCTAAAAAATATACAGCTTTTCCTGTACTTTTAACACCACGACAAAGTACACCGAATATACAAAACCAACTGACGAATAAACAAATCGAAAGTTCCCACGACGGTGTACCGATACCATTTTCTATGGAATCGAATTCTTTCAAAACGATTTTTCTAAAAATTAAACAAAACAAAAGTTTTACTTACCGTTCGAAAGAAATTCAATTAAATTAGATTTTGAATTTAATCAGAATTTGGAGTTTACCTAAAATATAATTCCGCTGAACTTTGAATTACGGTAGTATTGTTGATTGACGTATTGTTAACAGTGGAATTTAAGCATTGTCCTTGCCATTCTTCACGGCAAAACGACCACGGTAATTCCGATTGAAAACTTACTATCAAGTAATAGATAGTCAAGGCCATCAAGCTGGAATAATACGATACAACTGCGAATGCTGCGAAAGCTTGTCCATATCCTAATCCTAAAAATTATATCGCGAGATTATATTCTAATCTAAAAATTTTAAGATATTAAGTTATTTGAAATTTATTGGTTACTATTAATTAAAGTCAATATTTCATTGATATGATCTAAAAAATTAGAAATTAAAAATTATAATATTTAATATTATTATTTTATTATTATTTAAAATAAATATTTTATGGATTGAGATTTAAGGAATTAGAACAAATCATGCATTTATATAATTAATTAAAGAACCTCTCATGGCTGGTGTCATTTCCCATGTCTTCGCACAAGATTTATTCGTAAACTGACCTAACAATCCTTCCAAATAATAAAATGGTTTACCAATAAATAATAGAACAATAATGTAGGGTATTAAAAATGCCCCACCACCGTTTTCATAAGCTGTAAATGGAAATCTCCAAACATTTCCAAGACCAACCGACGTGGCTATACAGGCCATTAAAAAATCTAATCCCCCACCCCATGCTTCTCTCTTCACTTCACTCTAAAAAATATATTATGATAAATGAAAAAGGTATAAAAAAGAAATTAATAACTTTAAAAAATAACACATTCATTTTTGTAAATAAATTTTTGTCGACAAATGTACTAAAAATATGTCTACCGTGTCATGAATATCTATGGTGTTTTTATCTTGTTCATCAGAACGATTATTAATCTTCTGACCATTAGAATCATTACTTTTTCCATTCTCCGATTCGATAGTTTCCAATCGAAAACCTTCATTAACAATACCACTTGTATTCTACAAAACCAATATTCTAACTTTATAAAAAAATAAAAAGAAACTTAAAATATTTAATACGTAAAATAGATATATGTGGCTTGTAAACTCACGTGTACTTCGTCCAACAATAATTTTCCCATCTTGATAAACTATGAATATTTATTACGAATATTTTTCGTATTTCATTTTTCTAAATCGCGAACACTTGACAATTAATTTTATAATTTCAATTTACACAAATATTAATTCACTGATATATTCACATTTTTTGTTTATAAAATAATAATAAGTTTCTCTCTTTTTTCTTTTTTTTGTTAAACATTCGAGCCCGATTGTGAATTGTAGTCCGTATTTTGGCACGTTCGAAAATGGTTTGAATTGAAAACGTTAAGTTTGAACTATTTGCTATTTCTTCCTTTCTATCTTTTATCTCTATCTTATGCTAGTTTTATGAAAGACATAATAATTAGATACCACTATTTCTTACAGTATTTAAATTCGTCCTTCTTACTTCGATACTTTGCACACAAGGACAACGTGCACGAGAACGTAGATGTGAATGATTACTAACAGAATCGTGTAGAGCCAATCTCTTTTATAAGTTTTAACCAGTTTACAAGTTTTTATATAGGTGTGAGGAAACTCTTAGATATCACTTTCTCTCTCGTTCTTTCGTAAATAATGGCAAAGTACCAAAAAATACATTGTAGAAATTCATCAATAAAACTAATAATACAATTTTTCATATTTCATACATAAAATTAATTGTTACATATTTCATACATTAGCATTAAACCGAAATATGAGACGAAGAAATTTTCCTTAATCGTTTCAAATAATTAATAAATAAAATTGAAATAAAAATGTATATATTTTATAAATAAACATGAGCAAATAAATAAATAACACCTGTAAATAAATAATAAACACCCTGTTAAACAATTAATTGATCGATAACAATTATATTATTTTTTCTGATATTATATATTAAAATAATAATCATTTCATCAACATGTTTTACGACCATCTATGTAAATATATTTTTTAAGTTATTAATACTTATTTGTCGATCACTTTACGTATATTTTCTCTTTCCGATTTCTATATACTTTCAATGTTATAATTAAGTTATATTTTATCCTCGCACACACACACATATACGCGTGTACACACATATAGACACAATTGTACATTTGAAGCATTTTCTTTTCTTCGTTTTTTTTTAATCCGACCTAGAAGGCTCTAGATTAAGATAATAAAATAATAAAAGCGTATTTATAAAGTAATACCACGATCCATGATAAAATCTAGAAGTAACTTTTAACATCTTACAAAATTAATAGCATATCAAAACTGCAATAAAATGAATTAAGTTGTTGCAATATAATACCATGATACGGAAAAAGAGTAAACTAACAATAAGATATCTTGGGATTAGTATTAGATAAAATAAAGTCAAATAAAAAACATTTCATGGATTATGATATATATATATATATAATATATATATATTATTATTATCATATAGAAATAATAATTACACATATTATAATTTATATATTGTCACGTTGTTTTAACAATCATCATTTACCTTTCGATTCTCTAAAAATCAATCGAATTTAATATTCTTTATATACACCATATATAATATGTATGTACGTGTATGTATAATATGAATAAATATTAAGATTTGTATGACATACACACAGATGTTCGTAAATCATGATCATCATTGTCATACTTATTCTTCTCTGTTAATACTACGACATTTTTATTATTTACTCGAAACACGAGGTATATTCGTGTTACTCGTGTTATTTCACGAAGAATAAAAATATAACAATTATAGGAAATTTCCAATCTTCATATGCAAAATTTCTCAAAAAAAAAATGACACGTGTTCGAAACCAAAGATTCATTTACGTGTTTTCTAAACATTTTTGTTTTCTTTATTCTTATTATTTTTCAACATTATTTACGACACCCTGTATATGAATATGACATTATTTGTCTCATAGCTCTGTGTAACTAACAAGATTTCTCCTGAAAATTGTTGGAATAATGTAATGAGCTTATTAGCGTGTGTGACGTTACTCGTAAGCAGGGTCATGTATCAACAAATGATTTGAGTTTTCAATTAGTATAAAAATCTTCTTCAAAAAATGATAAAGAAAATATTTACATATGTTCCAAAGAAAAATATAATTTATTCATTTCTTATATAATAATAATAATAATAATAATAATAATAATAATATAATAGTTATTACTATATAATCTTCCTCTAAATTTAAATTAATTATAATTTTATTCATAAGATTTACCATGTATCCTAAATCGATATATACACGTGTATTTTTGATTACCCCAATTTGATAGTATTTCTAACATGACTCTTTTAAAAGGAATACTTAAAATTTCACGTTTCTATGAATATAAATTTTCAATGTTAGTTACGATCAACAGTATATGAAATATGTGTTTACTTTATGATTAGACTTACGGTGATGGGAAATGTTTGCGTTGATGATCCATGAATATTGTACTCAAAAGTATCTATTAATATATATTGATCTTTGAAATAACCCTGTATATAGAAGGATTTTATAATTTTAAAATAAAATATTACAAATTTTTTTTTTTTTTTTTTTTAATGAAAATATGTAATAAAAATATTACAAATTTTTCAACGCATAAAGTATTTAAATAATAGAAAGAGTAAATAAATCAAAAATAACTTACAAAGACAATAAATTTTCTTGGCGCCGAATCTATTTTTCCTGTTAAGGACATACTAACTGGTATGTGTTCCATAGTCACGTGACTAATGGTAGCTAAAACGGCCAACTCTAATACAATTTTCCCATGAGAACCATGTAATGCCCAACATTCTCCTGCTTGGCTCCAAGGCTATAAAATACCAGAATATTATAAATTTTTTTGAAAAAAAAATAATTGAGTTATATATATTATTTTTATTACGTTAGTTTTTTTTACCTGTATTACTTTTCGCGGCGTGAAATAATCCGGCCGCCATATTGGAATGCCGAAAATATGAAATTGATTACTTTTCGATTCAAAATATGATTCTGTATCTGGCGTTGATATCACTGACCCACCAACTGACTCTGACACAAAATCAGCCATTTCTAAATCTAATCAAATATATTTTTAATCAAAATATACATGTATATACTAAACAATTTGATTAATTAAAAATACAAAGTGAATATACGTGTTTTTTTCGTAGACATCTGAACGTTGTTCAATACTGTATTCTGTGACAAAGACAAAATATTAATAAATAATAAAAATAATCTATAAGAATATATTTCATAAATTTAATATCAAATTTTCTTCGTTTATGTAATTCGTTACTTAAAATTATTTATATGGACCATTTTTTGAATCATCATGTCGAGATTAAAAGTCTTCATTTTCAACTTTGATATTTCTTCTTTTAATAATATCGTATCGACTTTAGAATGATCAGAAATAGTAAGAATTCCATTATTATGTTCCTTCGATTCTTTTTGTGTATTATATTTTTCACAAGTAGCCGTATTAATGCTGTCATTAAGGCATATACATATAAATAATATTCCTGTATAGATTAATGAAATGTAAATATTGAAAAATCGTATATTTTGTAGTATAAATAATTATTATAATAAAATTTATATTATACAGGATCTTTTACCTAACTATACCACCTTAAATAAAATGTTTATATAATATTTTATATATTAATATACAAATTATTATATTTTTTTATGTTATAATTTGTATTGAAAATAAAAAAATTCATATATTTACCTGCACTAATTGCTACAACAAAAATAATTTGTAATATCGTACGTGATACTTCAAAACTGTGTCGGCAAATTCGTCTAACCTTATAAATAAGCCATAAATCGAAGATCATTAACTTTACGAGTGTATGACCAGTACCTACAAATAAATAACAATTCTAAATAACTATTTAAATTTTTAGGAAGAAAACAAATAGTATTTTACGATTTATAACATACAAAATAATTAAAAAAATATATAAATTAATAAACATGTATAATATTTAAATATTGAAGATACCCTTAGTTTTTTTATAATAATTGTTTTTAATTGCTATATCTCCTTTGACTCGTGACATTATATTAAATATAATTATAAGTTACAGAAAACATTAAAAGAAAGTCTTCACTACCGTTTTTAAATTTTAAATAATTTATATCCCTTCGAGTTAATGAATTATTGGGAAATGAAAGCATGAAAAGAAATTATTTCTACTTATAACGCCATCTGGTATAATTTGATGATCATCCGTTTATAAAGAAAGTTCGTATGTTTTACGTAAAGATTCCGTAATGATTAGGTTATAATTTTTTTTAAAATTATATTATATATACTTAAACTTTAACATTTCACTTAAATATGAATGACTATGAAGACGATTATTTAATTCAAATGGTGAGCAAGTAAGCTACTCGAGTGGGCCACTTTAGTGGCAGGCCGGTTAAGCACCTTATCGGTAATTATAGTGCTCTACCTTTATCTTATTTTTGACAGTCGGTAAATTAGAATATTAATTGTCTGTCATGAATATCGAATGTCATCTTAATCGTTAATGTTTCTGGCAATCGTACTATTTGTCTTTTATTTGAATGTGATCTTACATTAAAGATAAAATTGCAGCATTATCACCATTTGTGGCGTAGTAATCGCTAAGTCAATATCAAACTATTTTCGTTCACAAAGTGAAATTACTTCAAGAAAACTATTCTCATTATTGTTTTTTTAGCATTGTTGTATAAATAAAACGATGACTTATTAAAGAATGTCGTGTAATACGTGTGAAGCAAAGTTTACATTTTTTAAAAAAGAAGTAAGCAACAAAATTTTTAAGTCTAACATATCATTGTAGGTTATGTTATAATTCACTTACTAATATTCTTTCTATCATTTCCATAAAATATTCATTTTTATAACAATGTTTTTATGAAATTTAACAAAATGTAGATAATCGTTTTTAGCTTTCATATCATTACAATACTTTTTAGCATGCTTGCCCTACTTGTGGTTTCTCCTATTGTAGCAAGTGTCTGAAATATCAACATAATGTACCAAATAAATCAGTAAAGAAGATTTGTGGACGTTGTTACAACAAGAATAAATCTATAAATAAATTAAGCAACAATATGGAATCTCCATCTTCAGATACCTCTGATGGTCCTTTAGCACCAGTTGACATAGCAAGAAAGTAAATATCAGTGTACTAACCGATAAAATGTTGAAATAAAATAAACCATTTCAATTTGTTTTTCAGATTGGATTCGTTGGAAAATCCATCTAAGCCTCCCATAGTTATGTACACTCATGCGAATCATTGGGATAAATTTAAAACTGGTTTGGAGCCTGCTGATCAAGAAATAGTAGATCGATTAAGAAAATTAAAAGGAGAAGACAATAAGGTACCATTGCCCAGTGTAGAAGAGATCAAAAGAAGATTGGCGATATTGAAAGATGAAGAACCTGAAGAGAAAAAAATTAATGTAAGCGGCAGTAATAATCTTCAAAGATATTCTCTTTAATACTTATGAAATAAAAATATGAAGTAGAAAGTTATTTTTAGATTCAGAAGGTTGACAGTAGAACAGATCAAGAAAAAACTGACGACTTAATAAAAGAATATCTCGAAAGACTTAAATTATCTTCTAAAAATAATCCGGATAAAGAAATAGAAGCAAGACTGCGAGCACTACAAGATATTAATAATTCTAGATCTGTAAGAAGAGAATATAATAAAAAATGATTTGTTTTTATATTAAATATTGAATATTCAATTATAATATGTACGCGATATTTTAGAACTCAACTCCAGGTCACAGTTGTAATAATTTTGACGAGGATGACGAGCATGCTGTAACGAAGAAGATCATTGAAAAAGCACTGGCTGAGGCAGCTCTCGAAAAAAAATATGAAGAAGTGGGTGAACTCGAAGAAATGGAAGTAGAGGTATGCGTGAAAACAATTTTAAAGAATGTGATTTATCTTGTAATTATTTTAATTAATTTGTTTTTTTTTTTAAGACTGGAACACCAAGCGACGACGAAGACGAAGAAAAACCCGTCTGCGTAATGTGCGATCAAACAAGTGACTTGGTAAAATGCAGGGGATGCAGCGATGATGTTTATTGTTCGATATGCTTTGAAGAAAACCACGATGACTTTGAAATGAAAAAGCACAAAAAAGTACCTTTGAAGTATACAGGCAGCATGATACCAGAATAAATATTTTATGAAGTATTAATTGCACGAAGCTAAATATTTGTCCTTTTAATATTTGGGACGCTTTTCATATTTTACGCATACTCGTATCAGTCGGTCCACATTTTTAAACAACTAATATTGCAATATTATTTTAAACTATAATAATTGCTTCAATATTTATAAAAGTCATGCTTATTGGATAGCATAAAAATTATACGATGTCACTTTGAATAAGATATAATCTTCAATTAATATGTTTATATAACTAAACACGACAACACCAATATTGCTTATTTTTTATAGTCGATATTTATCATTTCGTATAGTTTAGAAACAAGTGCACTTTTAAATATAATATGTTTTACACGGCTCACAATGTGAACAATATATGTGATCGAAATAAAGATTTTGATAGGATGAAGATTTTACGGGATAATTACGTATAGAAAAATTCTGTACTTTAACGTAGGACAAAGATTCTCAAAAGACAATTAATTTGACGAAATAATTGTAAAAACAATTATAACATTTAGAACAAGTTATAAACCTGAAACAAACTTTGGTATCTTTGATCTACATTAACTTATTAACATATTAAGTATTATAGATATACTTTAAAAAAACAGAAAGCTATTTCTTCGTGAATATTTTTTATACTTGTGTTTAGCTCTCAATATGAGAAACGGTTATCAATTTGCTTTTTAAAATATTTGTGATTGCTGAACATGTTATGTATATTTGTATTAGGTAAGATTTTATCAAGATTATTATTATATTTAAATAAACTTTTTTTGCTACAATATTACTGAACAAAATATACAATAGTTTGCTTTCAAACTACTTAAATTATCAAGTAATATACACACAAATATAAATTATATGTTTTTCTAGAAACCAATCCCTTGAATAATTTAATTTATTGGATTAAAAAAAAAAAATGATGATCATAAATTTCTACATTTTTGAACGATGATTATTTTCGTATTTAATCAATTTAATTCATAATTCCGATATGTGATCATCGTTTATTTTAACAAATTACCGTACCGAAAAGATAAAACTTATTTTTTCTAAGAAGTTGTGAAAACTTCAGTTATCGTTGAATATATTTAACGATATTCGACATGCTTGATCGGGAATTACGGGATTCCCCAAAAAAAAAAAAGAAAAGACACGACGTTTGAGTACGGGCGTCGCGACGCAAAAACATTTACTTCTAACAGTCTAAGCACTGCTTACTATTTTTAGGTCTGTCGTTTTGCTTAGCCATGCCAAATCTTTCGAATGGTACGACGATTCGAATCGGCTTTGGAAAGTAATTTGCTTAAATTATTGCAGATATATTTATAACTTCAATTTCTTTTTCATTTTATTAAATTATCTTTTATTTTTCTTGAAGAGTATTATTCTTCTCAATGATATCAAATTGGGATTTATAAGATTAGATCTCTGAATGACTAATAAAATTGTATTTAAATTGATTTTGTGAATTAAATATGCGTGTTAATTGTTCATTCACGATTATAGATTTATTTTTACGTAATTATAAATATAGCAATATTTTAATTAAAAATAGATACTTACATTTATGTGTACTAATCTTCTAAATGTTCTAATCACTAAATACATTCACTAAATATTCTAAACTATCAGACACAGATATATGTGATCGTATAAAATATTTTAAGATTAATTTTTAATTAAAATTTTATACTTCATATTCAAATGATTTTATATTTATAATTGTTAGAGAAATAAATTAGTAATCAATATATTTTAACATATATATTAATATGCCTAATCTTCACATTTTAATGAAATGTATGGATATAATAGATACGAATATTCAGAATGAAAGCCGCCATCTTGAAAATTCCGTATATAATAAAAAATATACTTAAATCTTTCGGAAAAATTAAAAAAACATTTTCTTAAAGACTACAAATCGAATATATAATAAGGCAAATATCTTCCATTTCGTTATTGAATAAAAAACAATTGTTTTTAAATAGTCAACGAATGAAATTTGTTGGAAAGTCGTAAAACATACAATATACAACTTTGCTACTGAATATTTCGAACTTTGACTATTTCTGTAAAACGCTTGGCGGAAGCATTTTAACACAAGTAATATATATTTTTAAATGTATATACACATGCAATAATTCCTTCGGGGTAGGGAGTAATAAAAAAATTTTCCTTTGTGAATCTCGATTGCTCACTGGGACTTTCCCGAAAGTGGATGAGGCCATAATAAAACAATTCTAAGGAATTTGGCAGTGAACGATACTTTTGCACGTGCCGGATGTTGTTATTCGCAGGTCGTTGGCGTTTTCATATTTCTCTAACAATGAGTGCAGTAAGAAACGACCAATCGAACAATCAAATTAGAAACAATTTTGTATAATAGAAAAATAAAACATTAACTAATTAATTAATTAAAATGATATATGTGTGTTAACATGTTCTACTAGTTTTCAATTTTCTAAATTGGGAGAAGTACTATTTATTTATATAAATTAATAAATAGATAAAACAAGAAGAGAGAGAGAGAGGAAAAAAAAGAGAGAAGGAAAATGTCCAACAATAAATTCAACTTTTGAAAAATTTCGTTAGGGGAAAAAAACGTTGATCCGACTGACGATCAAATTTTTGGCACACTTGATATTTAAATCGATTTCTATTTTTATATTCGATAGACTGATATTAACGTACAATTTTCTTACTGACATTTTCTGTCCAACATATCTTTTTTTCCCTCACTTTTCCATTACACGCCATTTGATTTTTCTATACGATTTTGTTGCTTCACAAGAAGAATACCAAAAAAAAACTTATTTATTTTATTATACTTACTCTTCATTGTATGTATACTGGGATTCATTATTAGAAATTTGTAAGGAACGACGAGAATATGATTATCAATTTACAAATTAAGACCATGCTCGTATTTTCATTGAATTTCATTTACTCGTCAAATTATTACACATTCACCAATTTTGTATAATTATTATTATTATTATTATTATTCTTTTTTTTTTTTTTCATATTTTTTTCATATATTTTTTTTTTCAATACAACATTCTTTTCGACACATATATATATATCTTTCTCGCAAACTCTTCTTGGCGCATTCATTCCTCTTCAGTCTTGCACGCATTTGCTCAGAAAAAATACAAAATCTCTGACTAAAGACACTGTTGTCCCTACGAGGAGTTAACTTAAACGTCGTACAGACAAAAAGAAAGAAGTAAAGAATATAAAATAAAATTAAAAATAAAAATAAAACAAAAAGAGACAAAAAAAGAATTGAGTAGTTATCACCATGAACAAGGAACCATAAAAACCGTGCAAACACAATCCCTCGGTCCGATTTTTTTCGGATCTTAATTAAAATATGTCGTTTATTTATTTCTTCTCTCCCCTCTTTAAATTTTGTCGCCATTCGAATTTAAATATGAAAGTAGGTTTTGAAAGTGTTTTTTTTTTCGGACAACGAACGAAATGATGCACAGTTTCTTCACGAACACACACACCCATACATATAAATTTCTTTTCATATATAGTACGTATGTCATGTTTCGTATTTGCATATTCTGTTACAATGGGTGACACATACAATGCAAGCCGCAGGAACGATCGGGCTTGAAAATTCTTTTAAAACTCTTTCTTTCTTTCTTTCTTTCTTTCATTCTTTCATTCTTTCTCTCACTCTCTCTCTCTCTCTCTCTTTCTCTCTCAATACAGCGCAGGCATACATAATAAATTATAAATAATAACATTAATTAATATATAGTTTATATACTTTACAATGTGCGTGTCGTAATACTAAAGCGTACCGGGGGTCTCTGACGTTGGCGTTTATATTTTCTATGTTTTGCTTTTAATTATTTATTTATCAATTATTATTATTACTATTATGTTTCATACGTATCCTTATAAATTTTTCTCGATGAATGAATGATTGATTGATTGATTTATTTATTTATTTTTATAAATAATATTTCCTAACAAATTCGTTAGTATCTTCCCTAAATCATGACCTATTTTTATCGTAAAAAAACGCCATTTTGATTTTCGTTTATTTCCCGATTTTTCAAGTTCGAATAAGAAACGATCTTCGAAAACGAATCCACACATATGTACGTATACATATAGATGTATTAATTTACCTTACTTGGTAAATAATACAAATAAAAAAGTATATTGGAGTATATTACTTTTTTTTTTTTTTTTCTAAATAAGTTTAACGATACTTGACAAGGCACCATCATCTTATAGTCGTAATCAATAGGACACAGCTTTTGATAAGAAAATAACGTCGCATTGCGATTGGATGGAATATAAGAAATATCCTACTATGTTTTAAAATAAAAATTACTCAATTATTATTTACCAGAAAAAGAAAATAAATACTTGTAAATCTTAAAGCAGAAAAATAAATTCTCTTTTTTTAATTGTAATGTATATATGCATTGTGATTAGTTTACAGATGGTGTACCTATTTCAAGTATACCGATTTTTAATGTATCAATCTTATACTCATGCGCATATCTACTATGCGATACGTGTTTTCTTAAAAAAAAAGAAAAGTAAAAGAACAAAAAGATATATCAGAGAGAAATATAAATCAAATAATACTTTTCTGACACTTCGAACATATATATATATGTGTGTGTATCTATACACACTGATAAAAATAAGTCGAATCCTTCGAGAAACACATTATTCATTATGACAAAAGAAAATTTCATTAAAAAAACAAAAAAGAACCCTATTTGTAAGATCATTATTATTACTATTATTAATTTGTTTATCGAAGGACAAATGAGAGTAAAAATAAACGAGAAAAAAAAAAAGATTTACGTGTAAAACACGATATCCGTAAATCTGTCGTTACCAGCAGATTCACGACGATCAGTCCCATTACCTAAATCAAATTCGTGCTATTTAAAAAAAAAAAAAAAAAAAAACAGAAAAGAAAATAAGAAAAACCAAGATGGCGGAGAGTTGCAGCAAAGATGTTTCGTTTCTTGTATATAGAAACGGTTATGCGTTTGTTCAAGCAAGTAATCAAGGTGCCGCCATTCAATGGATAACGAACGAAATATGATTTACAAACAAATCATTTATCTTTTTTCTCTTTACTTAGCATGAGCTTCCGTACTTTCCGGAGGTGGTAAAGGTATCGCTTTGTCTGAGATCGGTGCAGCTTGTTTCTTTGCTTTCTTGACAGTTTTCGGTGACAAAGGTGACTTATTCATTGCCTTAATCTTTTCTTGACTGTCCGAAATTTGTTTTTTTTCTCCCGCGGACTTTTGCTCGGCACTCTCCTCCATTTTGATTTCTTTCGATAAATTTTGATTTTCGTCTTTCTTGTCCTCTTCTACGACATTTTCTACTTTCTCTTGCACTTCCATTGGCGCCGAAGAATCGATTTGCATCGTCACCTCGGTGATGTTATTTGTGTTTTCGTTCGATGGTTTTTCAGCGACTACTGCAACCTCTTGTTGTTGTTGTTCTTTTTGTTCTGCCTGATTTGCAGCAGGTGGAACTTCTTGTTCTTGTTCCATTTGTTGATTTTCAGTTGATACATTTTGTTGTCCTATTTGAGCAACTGMAACTGCAACTTCATTACTTTCAGTAGTAGCTTTTGGTGAGGAAGGTCCAGGAGGCAATGGGATTGCTTCGTTTGATTGTATGTTCTGTTCGTTGTTTTGATCAACATCCATCGATTCGTTCGATGGTTGATTTTCTTTCTCTTCTTCTTGATATTGTTCAACTTGCATAGATTGCAAATCTTCCTGGGATTGTTCTTGTCCAGATAAAGGTGCCTTAGATTCCAATAGACTTATCGTCTCTTGTATTGTTCTAATTGCATTTTTACGCGCCTGACGAACATTTTCTCGTCCTTCTGTTTCTATATCATCCAATTTAATCAATTCTCTTGTAAGCATCTCGTCCAGGAACATATATTGTTTGTCCTTGCGAGAATTTCCGGTATACTGTTTAACTTGTTCAGCTAGAGAATCAACTTCTTTTTGTACTAAAGCTACTCTTTCAAGTGGATCCTTAGGTAATGTTTGTTTTGGTACTTGTTTAGGTGCTTCTTGTTGTTGAGCTTGTTGACCGGGTGCTGCTGCCTGTTGCTGGGGATGTGGCTTTGGTTCCTGTTGCTGACGCGCTCTCTGTCGAGGCTGATGATATTCTTGAGGTTGAGACTCATATTGATGATGCCTTGGCGGTTGTTGTTCATTTCGTTGTCTCTCAGCATATTGTTTAGGTTGTTGATAATTCGGTGATTGCTGAGTACGACGAGTCGGTGAATGATCAAAAGACGAATTTGGATTATAAAATGATTCTTGGAAATGTGGTCGCCATTGTCTAGCTCCGAAACCTAGATTTGAGAAAGACGACGGTTTGGTGAAATGTGATGAATTGTGAAAGTGCGGTGGTGATTGTTGTCTTTGGAAAGACGAATCGATGTTTTTCGAAATAACTGGCTCGTCACGACCCTCTACAAATATTGGTATATGCCTAACGTTGCCGCCTTGTGATTGCTGAGTTGGAGGTGGTGGTGGTGGCGGGGAAGATTGTTGCTGAGAAGGAGAAGATTGCGGCTGATTATGCTGCGGTGTTATATCGACTCTAGATACGAAACGTTGTCCTGGCTGCTGTTGAGATTTATCTTGCTCTTGCGGCAGGTTCGTTTGTTGTCTGTTTTCTGGTGGCGCTGACATCGAACGTTGTCCACGAGAATCCTTCTCGGAATTCTCCATATTGTCACGATGATGTTGGCCTATGTCTACGGTATTACGTAGACCGTATTGCGGAATAGGATTTCTTCTATCTTCCCTATGTGATTGTTTGTTGTATTGCTGATTTTTCGAACGATTAGATGACGAGGACGATTCTGGATCACCGTGCGAACTCACGCCACTTGCACCACTTGCAGCGCTAGTAGCACTACTCCCACTAGCTTGGCTCCTGGCGTCCTCGTCTGGATAATTTGGATAACTACTGCTACCACTGCTACCACCGTTCCCTGAACCTCGTCGCTGATTATTATACGTAGATCCTCGGAACGGTATGTCACCCCAGGGTGGTCCTAAAAGATGATCCGCAAACTCTGGATGTCGAGCTGCTAGGTCGTCCAAATGTGCTCGTATATCGGTACGTCGACCAAAATCGTCGTCGTCGTCGAACGGGAAGCCCTGGAACATTATCAAAATATACACTTTTTAATATTACAATCTTTTTCCAAAACAATCATTATATTTAAATACATTTCATCAAATTGTCTTGTTAAATCTCATTTGTTAAACGACACAACGAGCCAAGTTGACAGGCCAATGTTTTTTTTTTTTTAATTCTATACAGTTGCATTGCTAAATACCGATGCATTTCATATTAGATAAAAAAATACATTTTTTACATGCGAATCTTCTCCATTCGAAACGGTTAAGTATCGTTCTGTCAACTTGGTACTTCCCTTGTAAGATAAATACGTGCATATAATTTGGTTAAATTCTAAATAAGAAAAAATGCATAACTATGCACGTATCCTATATCAAGCGGTGCTGTTACAATCTTTTAATATGACATGACACCTATGTTATATAGAAAAATGTAGGCTCTAATCGTAAATCCCATTAGTTAACCTATTAAAACGTAATCGAAGAAATAAGAGTACTAAAATAATGGATCAAATTTTGCCCAAACCCAATCTTGCCATCTTTATAAATTTTATTGTATTATTTTTCATGAAACCATTTTGATGAATTAGCAATAAAAATGATTAAAACTAATTGTATATTAGAAGGAAGAGAATGCAGTTTTGAGCTGGTAATATACTGCTTGTGACTCAACACTAAATATAACGTCGAAGCTTTTATATGATCCATGTCGACGAAAATCTCTTGGAATTTACCTAATTTCGAAATTAACCGCGAAGGTCTCGGAAAATTGTGGAGATAGTCGTGAAACATTTTCGATCGTGAAATATATGCATTTGTTAGAATTTTTATTTTTTCCCTGTACACATTATTATCCCTGAACTTGAAAGAACAATTTACACAAAATTGATAGAAAAATACTTTAAATTACATATTTAAAAATCCAATTTTTTGTTTGGTCTCTTAATCAAATATTTAATATATTTGTTTGAATACATTTTGAAATCAACTCGGTAGTAATAAACGGTATGAGAGGTAAACAAAATTAGTAAACCAAACGTTTCGATTATGCGGACGAATAAATGTTCATTTTGCACCCAGAATCAGCGATAATACACACTCGCATTCCTTGCCTTATAAGCGACTAAATGATTTCACTGTAACTTCTGTCGAACTGTTTGTCTATACTATAATGACGTCACTGAAAACGTGTGTAGGAAGAATGCCACAATAACCACTTATACGATAATCCTCGCGTCTTCTACTGGACATTGAACATATATATTCTTTCGAGGAAAAAAAGAAACCTATTCGAGATTAATCAGAATTTATCGTTTAACTCGGTGTTGAGAGTTTCTTGTTTTACGTTTACATTTCTCGAATAAAAAAAAAAAAAAAAAAAAAAAAAAAAAAGAAAACAAAAAAAGTACAAATATTAAATTACAGGAAAGAGAAAAAAAGGAAAAAGGAAAAATAAGGCACAAAAATAGTCTCGTCACGCAAACACGTAAAACTGGGTGAATGTCATCGCTCTTTTGGCATAATGATTATTCTAACTAGAAAACTAGGTGGCCGTCCTTGAACAACAATTTGATTTAACCTCGAGAAATAAGAAAGAAAGAAAGAAAAAAAAAAGAGAGAGACATCTTTTTTCCTTCAAAGCTTGCCCACAATTTCTAGGAACAATTTGATTTGCTTTAATTACTCTTTGAAGAATTATTAAATATATTGATAATATTCTGAAGAATTTTCTACGATAAAATGATAGTAATTGATCAAAGAACTTATCGTCTATCTATCCGTTGCACGAATGCATGACACTCGTTCTCTTGTAATTACAATCATTATGTAACATTGCGTAATGCAAAGAATTCAAACATGACTTCTCTATTGAGTTTCGATGTTTTTCTATGCAACCATATCAAATATAAATACATATTCAAACTATTAGGTGTAATAATTAATTCGACGTCTTGATATTAAATTCATTGCATCATAATCGCCATATTTTTTTCGGCAGTTGTCTGAAATATGAACAAAATCATCCAAAATAATGGAGACTATATTTCGAAAATTAACAGAGAGATGTACGATTACTTTTATAAATAAATATTTAATTTGTTAAAAAAAAAAAAGATACCGGATTAATTGCTACACATCTAATATTTTAATAAAGAGAAAGCAAAGGGGGTTATGTCCACTCCATTTCAAAATGGCCACTCTCAGCAACTAAGCATTAAAAGATATTTCACAAAATATACGATTTATCTGATATTTTCAGGACTAACAATTTAAAAATAAACAATAAAATTAAAAATGTTTTCCATAATTATTTGTCGTTTCTTATTATCGCGCCAACACACTACCACACTAAAAAAAAAATAAAGTAAAAAGAAAGAAAAATTATAGAATAACTTAAAGGAATATGAATAAAATATAAAGATAGAGAAACATAACGCATCTTTACGCTCAATAATCGTACTTCCCTATTTTTGGTGCAACGTTGCCAACTGTGCTCTCTCTCTCTCTCTTTCTTTTTCTCTTTTTCCTTCTACCCCTCAACCATTCGCATAAATTTGCCATGTTGCCGCAAAGCAAGTTAAATGTCAAATCGAAAAGAATCAGCACCGATTATGATACTTGTTGTGTCTCGCGCGTAGATTTTATTTTTAAATTAAATTCTGTGTGTTTCTTTATATTAATGTTGATATCTTATTTATGTATTATTTTAATCTATTATTTATAAACTCTATATTTCGTTACGGTTCGCAGCAACATTAATTTCTTTACGAAGGAAAGCAGACACCACCACAATTCTACCTTTTCGTTTTCTCTAGCAATTTCCGGTCGGCGTACAGCCGCCTACGTGGGCCTGTCCGTTACATTTCTTTTCCTTCCATTTTAAAAGCACAGTTAGAAAAGAGAGAGGAAAACAGTCGACTTTAAACTATGCTCAAAATAATCCATATTGATTTTATTATTTAAATATTATTAGAAGAGTAGGTGTCAAAAGTGTTCTCTTAAAGTCATTTTTTTAAAAACCAATTACTCTTATTAGAATTAATCATTTGTTAAAATTGTCAAACTACAAGCCTAACTACAATGTCTAAAATAATAAAGATAAAATAATAAAGAAGAATAACAAATTTGTCAAATCATCCAAAAACTTGTAGTCCGTTTTGTAGTAGTAGTATTGCTATTACTATTACTATTCTATATGTTAATTATGTTTTAGCGTGGCAACATAGTATTTTGTCTTTCTTGAAAGTGTTTATCAGAAAACCGGTTTCTTCGGTTGTTTTTTTTTTCTTCTATGCGAAAAATATAAGGGACAGTCGATTAGATCACGAACAAAAATATCATCTTATCATTTATGTTCTTTTACTGTTGATATCGATGATGTAGTACAACACAGGTGTAAATATTATGCGTGAGTTTAATTTCTATGTTATGTGTGTGTGTATTTAGTTAAGTGCTACTGTTCAACTAATTCCTAGAATCGTTATAGGAAACGAAACGAAAACGAATAAAAAATAATAAAGATAGAACACAGAGGAGGAGATTACACATTTGTGCTTTTTGTTTCTGCTAATTCCTAAGCTGTGTTAGAGTATTGTCATCTCTATCTCTTTGCCTTATATGGATTAATCGAATACTCGACAAATGACGCGACGAACGCGAAAATGACCACGTGTTGAAGAAAAAAAAATCATTATTATTATTCCTTTATATTTCTTCGAATTTACTTGTCACTCTGCACTAGTTTCGATGAATAATTTCTAAAAAAAAAAACAAGAGAAAAATAATTGTTAAATTTGGTTTACGAAAAAGTTATTTGTTATAATCAAATATTCTTTTTATTGTAAACCATATTTTTTAAGAACACAAATAATATAATTTTGTAATCGTCCTATAAAATATATTTTTATTGTATATATTTTTTAATTTTTTAAATATAATTGAGGTAACTTTTCTAATTATCCCCTGATATCCTTTTTTTTTTTGGGAGGGGGGGAAAATTATTTTGGAATAAAATTTATTCGTGATTAATATGAATCGAAAAAAAAATGCTTATTTGTTTATTTATTTTTTTTTGTAAATTAAAGCCAGCCAATTGCGTGCAAAAGATAGGGTTACCTAGGTAAAGCAGAGCAATACGAATAACATTTTATTCACTTACGGCAATTGTACGAACGATCCTGGTACCGATCGACGATGCCCGAGAAGAAGAAATCGATCGAACCAAAGAGAAGACGAATGTTCAAAGGAAGGAAACATAGCGCAATAGTTTAAACGTTTCTAGCACCTTCTTTTGTGAGAAGGAACACACATAATACATGACGGTGCTATTGTGACCTCGATTGGACCGACAGAGTTGGTCGGCTCTCTCTCTCTCTCCCTCTCTTTTTCTCTAAGAAAAGATACTCTTTCTCTCTCACTCTTTCTTTCTCTCCGAGGTTTATTATTAGCGTCGGCGCATCACTGTTTTTGGAGGAAGAGAGACAGGACATTAGTAAGTCGAAAGAAACGTTGCCGATTCTCCTTCTTTTTTTATTCGCGAAATAATTCCAAATTTTCGTTAAGCTTACTACACTCGGACCGTCGCCATTTTGGTATCATGGCGTTTTCATTTCGAGACAAGTTTCAATTGTAAAGGTATTAATTTATCAAACATAAACTTTTTAATCATGCAAGAAGTTAAAAAACTTGGTAAAAATTCGAATAATTTGTAGTACTAAACGTAATTCGAGTTTAATAGAAAATACAAATTTTTTGTTATCGTGGCAACGCCATCTTGCAATGTCGGTTTCATTTAGAATTGCATCGAGGTAAAATTTGTGAAAATCTTACGTAAAAATGCTTAGAATTATATTTTTGTTTGTTTGTTTCTTTTGATTACTAATCAAAGTAAATTATTATCTCGACGATAATATCGCGTTACCTTATCGATGTAAAACGAGAGAAGCGATATGAATATATATTGTATAATCGTGATATATAACGCTTATAACCTATCTTATTTATCTCCTACAATGATTAAGTTCTTTTTTTCTCCTTTATTCCGTATTTTTGTATCGATGACACGTTCATACAGAAATATGCTTACCAATCGAAAAAAAAAAACGAAGAAAAAATAATGAAAAGAAAATATGAATTGAAACAAATTCGTGTGTGGATTCGAAAAGAGATGTCTCTTTCGAAAGCTACGAAAAATACGTCATTACACGCAAATTCTATTTCTAACATTCGTACGATCCAAGAGAAGAAAACACGAAAAAGAAGGTCGGTTTCTAAGAGATATACATAAGTTGCAACATATATGTGTGTGTATATATATATATATATAAGTTATTTTACGAAATAAATATTAGAACTGCACTATCGACTGAAAAACCTCGATAGAAAATATTTAACGCAATAAATAACAAAATGATTTATATGAAAACAAACAATTTCTTGCTTACTTTGAACGACTGAGCTTACACTTCTAAAATAAAAAAAGATAGGTCACTCAAATGAATAATCAAAAAGATTGCAGGTTTTCAACACTGAGATTAATAATGCTGATGATTAACAACTGTCGACAAAAATTTCGTCGAATCTAAATCACGATTCGAAATAATGCGACGTAACACGTGAAAATATATATGCATTGTGACATTTTCAACGACCTACCCACTTCGTGTCTTGCTCGCATGATAACAACTCGCTCGATAAATAATACTCCGACGAAGGTAAAATTTGATCATAAAAATGATTTCACAAAGAAAATATATGTAAAAATATGTTTCAAAAATATGACGCGAATTAACGAACAAAAATAATAAATTCATTCATTCATTCATTAATTAATCGACAAATTTTAATAAATCATCATCTGTTCTCGTTTTTCCGATTAAAATATTTGTTGTTAACACTAAAAGAACCAATCCGTCCTTAATATAGAATCGATCGAGCAAAGAGAAATATGTTATGAGTATGTAATATGAAGTAGACATGCGAGAGGGTTAAGGTCGGACGTAAAACCATGATGTAATCGTTCGAAAGGGGACTACTACTCTGCGAAAATACGAACATATGTATATATCAAATATATCTATACATATACACCCAGTTATCTCTACCTACGAACTATATATATATATATATATATATATTCTCATCTTTTTCGTGTCATCGTTATACCATCCACATCATCGTTGTGTTTGAATTGCGTGGGGGGAGGAAGGAGAGAAAAAAAGGAGTATCAGAAACTTACAGGGATCCCTTGTCCGAATTTGGATGCTGAATCCACGATGACGGGCGAATCCATTTTCTTTAATTTATTTTTATTTTTTATTTCTTTATATTATTTTTCAAAATGTTTTTTTTATTATCGATTTCGTCCTCTTTCTCTCTCTCTCTCTCTCTCTCTCTCTCTCTCTCTTTTTCTTTCTATCTCTTACTCTTTCAGATGGTTGCAAGATTTCTAGATCGTTCTTCCTCGTATTATATAGAACAGGAAATAATAGTGGGGGGGGGGGGAAAGAGATTAAAATCACGTCTCTTCTTTTCTGCTTCCTATGATCTGCTTTCTTTTTCTGTCTATCCTTTTTCTTTTTTTTTTTTTTTTTTTTTTTTTTAATGAAACAAAAGAAAAAAATAAGCTCACTAAATAAAAGTAATGGCTTTTTTTTGCGTGTGGTGTTAAACGAAGGCGAGCGAAACGAGAAAATCGCACTCTCGTGCAAGGATCTTTTTTATTTCTGAATTACCCGAAGTTGGTCACTCTCTCTTTCTTTTCTTAATTTCTTCTTTTCCCACTCTCTCTCTCTCTCTCTCTCTAATTTTGCTTCTTTCTCTTTCCCTTTCTCCTCTCGCTTCAATTTTTTTACTCTTCCTTCTTTTATCCTCAAATTTGTCTTTTCTCTTTTCAACACTTTCAAAAATACACTCTTCACTTTATTTATATGATTTATTATATTTGAAATAAATACAAAAAAGAAAAAAAAATCCTATATACGTATGAAAATGTATATATTTGCACTAGAAATATATTGATTTTATATATAAGTGTGTGCCGGTTTATATTATATGAAATATCCTCTTAACACGCACGTTTAACTTTCTAGATTATTCTCTTACGAAGCGTAATCGTTCGATTCGATAGTGAAACTGTCAGTCGCGCTCCGAGTATCATCGACTTAAATATATTTCTCGTGTGGGACGGTAGCTAGTTAGTCACGTGACCCGTCTACACTAGCGCCGACAATTCCCGAATGTTCTCGGAGCCGGCCGATCGAAACTACCAGAGAATGATAGAACTTTCCTTAGATTTTTCACATCCTTCAACATATTCTACCAGGGATTGTGAAAGAGTGTTGTTTTTCACGCTTGAATTTACATGCAAACGCCAAAGCACGTGCCGCACGTTCCTTATTGTTTCCAATTCTATACTTTATTAACGTTTTTATAAAGATTTAGAGATTTTATAACACACACACTTGATAATTATATTTTTATATATTATCATTTTAATTTTCTATATAATTTGATTTAATCGATTACATATTGATATATCGTATATTTGATTTGTCATATATCTTTCGTTCTTTTTTATTTTTTATTTACGCATACATAATTGCGCAAAAATAATTATTATAATAAATATTATTATTTATATTCGGTGATATTTTTGTAATATTTTGATAATTGTTTTAGATATGAAAAATATTATCATGGATGCTGAGTGATAATTGTACAAAATAATGACAGACATGTATATGAATGTGTATGAATATTCGTGTAGATGCATCTTATTGATTTACATTCTGAAATCGCTACCTTAGCGATCGCGAAAATACTGGTACATTCCATAGATGATTCACTGCCGCCCTACCCGTATTATTCGAGGCTATTGCAACGCTCTGCTTTTCTTTATTTTTATTATCGACGATTCTTGCAAGGTTGTATTCTCTCAACGTATCCGGCGCCTTTTATAGCAAACAGATATTCCCTTCAAGTTTGGACCTTCGAACGACAAGACGAAAGCTACATGGTCGACTTGGTTTTTTGGTACGTTCGACAATTTTCGATAAAGAACTTCTTGCTTCGAATATGGAATAAAGATTTATTTGTAAAATATATTATTTTCATTTTACCATCGTTTCTTTTCTATTGTTTAATTCCAAATCGTAAGGCAAAAAATTATTATCAAATTTAAGTTATTATTAAAAAATATTTCCAATCGTAAGAGAGAGAGAGAGAGAGAGAAAAAAAAGCTACTTGAACTTAATATCATACATTCGGGGTTATAAATAAAAAATGTGGGCTATAATTAGAATATTTATATTCATATAAACGAGAAATGAATGAATCAATATGTCTAAGAATAAAAAAAAAATACTCTAAATTGATATCACATTGAAGTTATAATTAAAACATTACATTCATCCTCGTTGATCAATTAATCATTATCTATTTCTATTCTAAGACAATGGTCTCAAATTGACTCTTCTCTTACCCTCTTTTTCTTTCTCGACAATATACTTTCAGATTCACCATCGCGAAACATTAGTCAGCATCCAGAATTTGGTTGCTTGCCAGACTCCTTGGGCTTATCACGAATACCAAAATGGAGATTGACCGCCGCCATTATCTTTTAGTGGAAAATGATTTCTATTGAGAGTATGATAAACGTAACACTACGATTCGTTCTAATAAATTAAACTAACCAATCACATATCTATCTCTCTCTTTCTCTTTCTTTTGAATGCATGTAATTCAAACCGAACTTGACTTTTATTAACCTTTCCTATTAAATACGATGATCTTCCATCGTTACATATTTATCTGAAAATGACCATGTATCATGACATACGTAAATATATATCCACGAATATATGTATTTTCATAACGACCGTGCCTTCGAGGGTGCAACAAGGTGTTTTTAGACAGAGCACGATGATTGGACGTAGGCCAAGTGCACTAGGAACAAGGTTTCATAATCTAATACACTTAGCATGACTTTACTGATGACTTCAACGTGATATCAAATTGTGATTTCTAATTAATTGAAATGTAAAAGCAATTTTGATTAAAAACCTTTCACAAAAAATAAGCCAATCTTTTACGTACATAAATTGTCATGAATTGTGTAAACAATATCAGAGGTGGACCAAAAGTTCCTAGATAATTTTCTATTACTTTTTTAATTAATTTATTTCATCAGATTGTAAAATTGCATATCTAAAACATCTCGAGTATGGAAAAATAAAAAATTAAAATAAATGACGAGTCAACTACGATAAATGAAAAAATAAGGTAATAATAAAACAAAAGTTAGATAAGACAATTATCCTCTCTTACGTGTATTCATTACGTTCATAGTATTTTATCTATATGCAACAAGCATGTATGTGATACGTGGTGTTCTGCGTATGTGTATATATTTGTGCGTATGCATGAATAGATCGTATGAAGGTGACACAACATAAGGTATCTCCTACAACATGATAGAGATTATATAATAGATCAAGTAACAAATGCATCGATGAACTGGCATTCTGAAGCTTTGTAAGATTCCAGGAATGAATATCGTATTCTTTACTGATGCATGACTACATAAACATGTGCATAGACAAATAATCTCAACTTTAATGTTAGCCTTAAAAAAATTTTTTAAATATTTTCATCAATTTATTGATATCATTTTTATATTACATTATATTTTATCGATAAAAATATTACGTAAAATGATTTATTCGTAATAATAATAAACTACAAGAGACGATGGAAATTGAATATTTTGCGCAAGATTTGATATGAAATGAATCGTGAAAACGGAAGCTAGCTACACAACACGAGATCGAAAAGATTGTTGCTAAAATGCAGAGAAGCTTTTGAAAATGATTAAAGTGACTCGAGCGAGTTTCACCGGGCGACTCATCTCGTCGTCATTTTTATCAACACGGAAGTAAGCAGCTGCCAATCTTACTGGCATCTTCATGTGAAAGTTAAAATGGTGTCAACGTACAGAAAGAAATGTATCTTCTTGTACGATTAGTAAAGGATGGGCCAAACATTCATAGATGTTTTTTTTTTAATTTATCTACTCTTTTACAAAATTTTACAAAATTTCACAAACTTTATTATTAGCCTTCTAATTTTGCAAGCTAGCGTGTAATTTGATAATCTGGAAACAAATTTATTAAGTTGGCCAATACTAGTTATTTAGAACCATTTTGTAATTTATTTGATCTCTTTATAAATTTATTAAAGTCTGAAAATTTATCAAAAAATAGTTATTTATGTTTTAAATTTATCTAAGATCTCGTGTGTGTGTGTGTGTGTGTGTGATCCAACTTATATTGTATAATACTGTAATATTTTTTCAATCGTAAACAATTGTTAGAAAATTTTAATATGCATTTTTCGATCGATACTAACGATCCTCTTCCCACCTACTTCCTGCCCACCCTTTTGTTGATCAAGTTGAATAACTAGAACGTGCCATTGATTAGATTAACTTCTGCTAATTAACTCTCCAACCTTGAAAGTCAATTAAGAAAATAGGATCATGCTCTATGCCGAGACCTTTGTTAAGAAAATCGAATCGAGTTTATCAAACTGAATTTATCTTGACACAAAATTACTTAGAAATTTCCTTATATTTGTGCATGTTTTAAATCTTGAATATTTTAGTAACATCAAAAAATTACATTATTCATTTAAATGAAGTTGAAAACAATTTCTTATAAATTAGAATTACAGAGTTTGCCTAATCCGAATAAAGGATTCAAACGAAATGAAGTATTTTAATTGGATTGATCAGATTTGTGCTGGTTCGTTTAGAATCGTGACTGTCCAATTGCAATATTGATTGAAGTAGTATTTCCGACAAGTTTGTAATAATGATAATAACTATAACAATAATAATAATAATAAAAATTACTATACAAATAAATAAATTAAAAAAAATAAGAAAAATATATTTCATGATGAAATCGACAATAAAAATAAAAATGCAATTAACTCTAGATGTAAAATATATCCTAATTATATAATCATATACGTTGATGAGTTGAAAGATCTTGAGTCTTACATAGAAATAATTTGTTTTTATGATCAAATTCGTTTTTAATTTTTAATATAATTTCAAAACCTTTGGAAAAGAATTGGTTCAAAACTTTTATAACCCACCCTCGTATGTATTAAGTATATGTATCGTGAATAAATAGAAATATTCACTATCGATAAATAGCGAGATGGTGTTGCCATCTATCAGTATTAGACGAAGGTAAAATATTCGAATGATGCAATATGTTTCTGGTAATATTAAATTTCTTCCAAATTTCTCTTACCGATTCAATATAAATTATCTTTCAATATAATTTGAAAACAGATAGAAAAATGTAGTTTATCTTAGAAAAAAACCTCTCTTCATTACCGACTGCATTCAATCAAAAATTTGCGAAATTTTATTTACATTATTTTATTTACAATTGGAAATAATTAACTTATATATAATATTATAAAAATTTTTACGATGATTGACTGATAGTAATGATGATGATAAACTAGCCAATAGGAGGTCATCATTATTTACAGCCATTTTGTAATTTATTTTTCAATTTTAAATCTATTCATAATTATCTGCAATTCGCATATGGTTTATTTGATCATTAATCAAATAGTTTAAAATCAACATTTCTGTTTATTCTAAATCAACAATAATTTCTGCAACAAAATAATTTACAATTAAATATAATTATATTTTACTTAAAATAATATAATTACAATTTAATTATTCGTTACATTATAAATAGTAATAATAAAATGCCAAGGTTG